ACATCATTTGTGGGCACGTCACTGTCTGAGAAGCACTTGGTCTCACCCCAACCCCGTTCCTTTCTCTCTGTTGTCAAAGAAAGAACCTTTTACTCTTTTGTGATCTAGTGCTTTAGAGCTTGGAAATTGATCCCCAGGGCTTGAGATGAGAGTCCCTGATGCCTTTTATGCTGAAAAAGAGACTCACCTGGGTTTTCTAACCTCTTCCTGAATTAACCACAGAAGTAATTCCCCATGGCATTGCAGCTGCTGTCTCTCCCCCAGGGCCTGGCAGAAAGGGAAAAAAAAAAAAAAAAAAACAATCCCAGGTTGGCACGCTTGACATTTCTCAATGTGAAGTTTTTTTTTTTTTGTTCCTGTGCTTTCCTAGTTAGGAGATTTATTTATTTATTTATTTTTTGGTCCTTTTGATGACTTTGCCTTTCTTGCTCCCTTATCCTCTGAAGGCAGGGTGGATTTAATTCTCATTTGCATCAGAGCTGGATCTCTTCTTGGCCTTTTGGCTAAGATCAAGTGTAGCATCAGATCTGGTTCATAAATCAGCCACTCAACATCACTTTTCTCTCTCTCAGCCTTCTGGTGCACTTGAAATGTGTTTCTGATTTCTTTTAAAAGGGATCTCACTCCTTGTTCAGCTCGTACATTTCAAAACAAGTTATATCATAGCAGAGTTTTAAAACAGACACATAAAATGACTCATCCTTAGGAAAACTTTCAAATTTATATGCTATACAGTTGGACAGAGTTGTGATTTGTATTACGTCTTGAATATATGCCTTTCAACCTTTACCGCAGAGAAGAACAGCTGCTGTTTTACTGGATTGGTATTAAGTATCATGTTCTCTTTCGCCCGTGCTTGGACTGAGACAGGTAAGTCATAAAAGCACGTACACAGGGAATCCTAGGGCCAGGTTGTATTGAAGGCAAAAAAACATTTAATAACATCATATGAAACAACTTAAAATCTCTATTTAATAAATTGTGTCCTTTTACTGTGTATCTCTTTTCTTTTTTAAAAATAATTTTGCAGTGCTAGAGATTGAACTCGGGGCCTTGGGCATGCTAGGCAAGCGCTCTACCACTGAGCTACATCCCTAGCCTGTGTTCATCTTTTAAGTCATGTCACAGAGAAAAGAGAATGGAGGTTTGTGGCTTTCATATGCTAAAGGCACCAGCTAGAAATATGTTGTCTATAGGACTAAGCATTATTTACAGATTTTAGTATATTTACACAAAATCTATCCACAGAGTTTTGTCTTAACTTTTGTTTTAATGTGTATATTTTTAGTTGTAGATGGGCCCCATACTTTCATTTCTTTATTTTTATGTGGTCTGAGGATCGAGCCCAGTGCCTCACATGTGTTAGATAAGCTCTGTACCACTGAGCCCCAGCCCCAGCCCCTGTCTTAACTCTGATTCTCATCTCGACTGGTGAGTCACAGATCCCTCTGCTGTCCTTCTTTCACCTTCTAGGCAGCTATACTATTTTATGCATCTTTCGTTTACTCACAAATTAAATAGCAGTATTATTATTCATTTGTACCATTAATGTTTGTTTAGAGTTACCATCTATTTGTCATTTACTTATTCTCTATTTCCTCTTCCCAGACCTTTTGTCTGAGATAGTTTATCTTTGTTCTTGAAGGATGTCCTCGTTTAGAGGTGGTGCAGGTAGCTGCTGCTTCCTCCTCCTCCTCTTCCTCTTCCCCTTGCCTCCTCTCTTCTTTCAGTACTGGGCATCCAACCCAGAGGCTTGCACACACTAGGCAAGGACTTTCCCTCTGGGCTACATCCCCAGCCCAGTTGTAATTTGAAACAGTCTCTCTCTGAGTTGCCCAGGCTGGCCTCAAAATGGTGATCCTCCTGCCTCAGCATGCTGGCTAGTTGGAATTACATGTACCAAACCATATGTGTCTTCTTGATGGGGAGTTTTTGCTCAAGTCTGAGATGTCAGATAGTTTCTCTCAACTCCTTGAAGAGTTTGTTCCCTAGTCCTCTAGCTTCTATTCTGTGACTAGTTCTCTGCTTGTGTAATCGACATCCTTCTCTCTCTGACTGCTTTTATAATTTGTCTTTTTTTTTTTTTTAAAATTATTTATTTATTTATTTATTTTACTTTTACGGGGTCCTAAGATGGAACCCAGTGCCTCATGCACACTAGGCAAGCGCTCTGCCATTGAGCTACAGCCCCAGCCCTCATAATTTGTCTTTGGTGACCTGTGGCACAATATCATAAGTATGGGTTTAAAAAAAAAAATCACCTTGTTTGGGATTTCCTGGTTTTCCTAAATTGAAGGATTTGTGTCTCCTTAGTCTTGGAAAATTATTAGTGTTATCTCTTTGAATATTGTTTCTCTGTGACTCCCTTCATTACGTTTTTCTAAAACTTTGATCAAAGGTACGTCTCATTCTGTCTTCTTTCTTATGTTTGCATCTCTTTGTTTCTAGCTGATTTCTTCAGATGTGCCCCTCAGTTCACTAAATCTTACTTCAGCTGGGTCTAAATTGCTGTTTGATGTGTGTGTTAAGTTTTTAAATTTTAATTACAATATTTTCATTTTTCAGTGTTCTTTGTTTGCTTTTCAAATATTTCTGGTCAGTTTTCATAGTCTCTTGCTCAGAACTCATGTTTTTAATCCCCACTTATTATTTTAGATGAATTAAACATATTTTAAAAATGTCTCCCAGAATATCTGAAGTCTTTGAGATCTGAGATTACTTTGATTTAGTTTCTTTTGGCTTTTCCATGGAATTCGCTTGACTTTTCATGGTACCTTATTTTCCTGTGTGTTTTTTCATTTGAATTTTGTGCTCATATTTGTTGGGACTGTAGCTGTGGGAATATTTGATTTGGGAGTGTGTTCTTCTGAGGACAACTTTTTTTTTTTCCTTTCTTTTTTTGAGACAGGGTTTCACTCTGTTACCCAGGCTGGTGTCAGACTCCTGGGCTCTGATTCTTCTGCCTCAGCCTCCTCAGCTTTCGTTGTAGTTAGGTTTATAAGTGTGTGTCACCACGCTGGCCTGGGATCATTCATATTAGATTCTGACAGACATTGGAGACTGGGCTTATTTTTTGGGGGGGGATACTAGGGATTGAACTCAGAGTCACTCAACCACTGAGCCACATCCCCAGCTCTGTTTTGTATTTTATTTAGAGACAGGGTCTCACTGAGTTGCTTAGCATCTTGCTTTTGCCAAGGTTGGCTTTGAACTCATGATCCTCCTGCCTAAGCCTCCGAGCCACTGGGATTACAGGTGTGCGTCACTGCGCCCAGCTAGACTGGGTCTACTTTAAATTAGGTCTCTTAGCATAGAGTTATTAGGACCATATAAATAATATAGGTTCTAAAGTTGGAGAGACTTGTGTAATTGCTGCACAAAGCCAGAGTTGAGATAGACATTTGTTCTTTCCTTTTCTCTCCCTCCCTCCCTTCCTTACTTCGTTCCTTCTTTTTTGGCCTGAACAACAGAACTTAGCTGGGTCCCTTCTGGAGGCCAGCAGTCCAAGGACTGGGTCAGCAGGCTGGTTCTCTCTGAGGCTGTGGGGGAGAGCCCTGCCCAGGGGGTCTCCTGGCTGCTGGTGTTTGCTGGCAGTCTTTGACATTCCTTATCTTTTAGGAGGATTGCCCTGATCTTCCTTCACCTTCACAGGTGTTCTCCGTGTGTGTGTGTGTGTGTGTGTGTCCAAATTTCCTTTCTAAAACGAGGACAAGAGTCATAAGGAAGATTGAGTTAAGGGTAATTTTTATAGTATTTCACACATAGTTGGGACAAGTGGAAGGTGTTGTTCCTGCTTGTGATCGCTGCCTTGTCCCCAGCTGTGCTGCAGTGGCCAGTACTCTGGCCCTCTGTCAGTGGCTGGGCTGTCACTCACCTAACTTCTCTGGGCAACATATCTAAATTACAGGTGGAGACACCTGAACTTTTAAAATGATGACGGCTGTCCCAGGATCAAGAATAGCAGAGTTTGAGCAGATGATGGGATGATTTGGACACATGTCAGAACCTGGTATCCTCTGACACTGTTCGTTCCTTCATTTGAGCAGGTGTTTAATTGAGTTCCTACCAAATATCACTCACTGCGCTGGCTACCAGGCAACAGGAACTGTCCCTGTTTCCAGAAGCTCACAGTTGAATGAGTAGGCAGGTAGTTTGATGGTAAGGGGTGTGACAGGTAGAAGCCCAGGGGGAGACAGTGACCCATAACTAGAGCTTGGAGGGAGGAGGCCAGAGCTGTGTGCAATCTGAAGGACTGGAATGGCCTGGTGGAGAGCCAGGGAGGGGCATTCAGGAATGGGGACAACAGGGTGCAGGTCACCAAGGCCAGAGCAGATTTGGGTTTGGGAGCCGCAGGGTGCTTATTTGGCCAGAGGATAGTTGTGGAGGCCTGACAGGGGTGAAAGGTGGGCCTGGAGGTCTCTGGGGACAGCCTGGGAAGGGCCCAGTGACTGTTTGGAAGCACCACTGGATAAGCCTGGAACTGTCACCAGGACCTGAGTGGTGCTGCCAGGAGGCACTCTGTCCTCGCAGGAGTCAGCTTGTGATTGGAAGAGAGAACCGTGGGCTTCGGGGTCAGGGCAGCCCTGTGTTAGAGGCTGGCTTCCCTCCAGGCAGATCTTGTAGTGGACCTGTCCACCTTCTCTAACCTCCTTCCTCGTGTGATAAATGAGAATGGCCAGACAACCTCCCAGGGCCTGTTTCCTGTGTTGTGTGGTTTTGTGGGTACGAGTGTCTGTTGTTAGAAAGCAAGAGAAAGCGTGTAAATGTGTACACACAGAGGCCAGCTTACGTAAAGGTGGTGCTCAGGTTTCTGAGTGCTTGAAGATTCATTTCCCGTGGCGATTCTGGCCATATCTGGCTTCCGCCGCGTAGCTGTGAATGGTAGCTCTCTACCGCGAGTGGATGTTTGCTGAATGAGTAACTGTGGATGCCTGAAAGGAAACCATAGCAGTCCGACTCCCGTGGCATTGCAGCTAACCCAGCTCTGGTTTTCTTGCTAGATGAGCTCCCTCTGGAGCAGCACGACCTCTCTCCCTTCCCTGCGGAGCTCTTGCTGGAGACCAGCACCATGCCCAGCGCTGCACACGTGGCCTTAACAGAGACTGCGGCGGGGTCCCAGCTGAGCCGGTCTCTTCTCCCCACGTCCTCTCCATCTGCCACTAGTTTTGATACGGCTTTTTTAAATCATGGAAAACAGACCCAAAGTACAGCAGATCACAGTGTCTTTGTGGTAAATTATGGGTCTGTGACGAGTAATGAGGTGGCCTTCGGTGACGATGACATGGATAACTTTTTGCCAGATGCTCCCTGGACCTCTGCACGGATGGTGTCCCCAACACAGTCCATCGTGGTCAGCCCACCAGAGCTGCCCGGAGAAACGCCCGAGCTCAAGCCCACTCCATCACTACCCACGATTTCCCTACAGGACCAAGAGGTGACATCAGCCTGGCAGAGTTCAGCCCAGCCACCAGCGACTTACGTGGAGTCCCCCAGTCATCTTGGCACCTCTTGGTCAGCTTTTCCCACCTCCGAGGGCATAATTCCAACTCTTAATGGGAACCTGGTGCTTTATCCTACCGGAACCTACAGCCAGTTACCAAGTAGGACTTGGCCAGAGACAGTGGCTCCAGTCACAGAGGACGCGGGGGCCCTGCCCTTGGGCTCGTGGTCTTCTTTGCCTCCGCCGTTAGGTGATGGCGGTCCCCAACAGCCATCTCTGCCTCCGGGGGAGATCTCACAGACTCCACAGCAGGTCCTGGCCACACGCACAGGCAGACACCCCCATGTGACCACTGCTGGGAGTCAGCGTCTGGAAGAAACTGGCTTTCCAAGGGTGGACCCCACTGTCACCGTGTCACAGACGGCCTTTGCTTCCAGGAGCACACAGGCTGCTTCGTTTTCCGCCCCTCCTGCATTTGTGTCTTTTTCTACTCCGTCAGTGGATGCTTCACACGACCCCTTCCTTCCTGGAGATGCCGGCGACACGTCAGAGTTGCCTGGCAGTCCTGTGGTCCCCAGTCACACGGCGGATACCCTCGTCCTGAGCCCCGCGGCCTCCCTCAGGCCCTACACTTGGTGCGCGTCCTGTGCTGTGGCATCTCCTCGGCACGTTCTGGCCACAGGTTCTGTGGAGAGAGACGTGGGGTCGGGGGATGGGCCCGAGACCCTGACGGTGGCCACGCTGGCAGCGAGCAGCCCCTCTCTGTGGAGTAGCGAGGCCACCGACCTCTCCGAGTTCGAGGAAGATCCTCAAGAATATAACACCCTGTTCCCCCCCAGGCCCGTGGTCTCCCTCGCTTCTCCATCCCTGAGGGTCTCGGAAGCCAGCCCAGGTGTGTCGGCCGAGGTGGGCACGAGCAGCGTCACCAGCACCCAGGTGTACTCTTCTCTTGAGCACCTCTCTGCACCAGTGTCCCTCGGGCCTGCCTTTGGCTTCTCCCCGGTGGCCGACGCTCAAGGAACACCATCCAGTGTGACCGCTGTGTCTTTCTCGGTCACTGCCAGCGTCCTCCTTGAATCATTTTTCTCTGTCACAGTAAAGGAAAGCACGCCGTCCCTCTGGTTCAGAGACGCGAGTCTGTCCCCCTCTGAGACTCTGGTTCCTCTGGCAGAGCCTTCACTTTTCTCCCACCAGGAACCCGCGGGGGCTTCTGCCCAGGGGTGGCCGAGTGTCCTGGATCTGGCGTCCAGCCTCCCCTCCACGCCTCCGCTGGACCTGGGCAGCCCGGCCCCCTCCTCTTCCCAGGTCCCTGCTGCCCCGTCTCTGATGCCAAGTGGCCTGTCCCCCATCGCGTCCCAGTCCCTTTCTGCCTGGGTGGCGACCTTGGCCTTGCCTGACCCTGCCAGTGTGCACTCACCGCCTCTTTCTGCTCCGAGTTCCACAGACCTGGCGTCTCCTCAGCTCTGGCCGAGTGCGGACCTTCCTTCAAGGACGGTCACCTCTCTCCCTGGTCCTTCTGAAGTGCCAGTGCTGCCGAGCTTCTCCTCGGATCCTCTCCAGCTTGCTGGCTCATCCACGGTCGCGCCCACGGACTCCGACGCCCTTTTTACCTCGGCTCTCACTGGAACTACCTCCTCTTTTGAGTTCTTGCCCACCCGCCACGGCTCTGCAGTCGCCACGCTGGTGCCCTCCGGCTCCGAGCCCACCCTCGATGTCTCGACTGCTGCGACTCACCCCTGGTCACAGTCCCCTGCTTCCCCTCTGACACCTGTTTTCACCGAGGCTTTTCTGTCCTCGACTCTGACACCCTCGGAGGACCCGGTCAGTGCTACAGACTATCACACGCCTGTCTCACCCTCTTCCTCCCAAGTCATTCCCACCGGTCCAGTGTCAGTCAGCGACGCATATCTGCCATCAGCATCCTCACTTGTCCCGGGGGGGAGCTCGTCACCCCTGCCCACAGAGCCACCGTCCACGCTCACAGGTTCACCGTGGAACACATCCCCCGAGCCGAGCACACCCAACAGCACTGCTGCCCATACTGTGGACACTGACCTGAGCAGTGGCACTGGGAATCCGAGCCCCCCGGAGGGCAGTGTGGCCCCTCCATTGCCATCCCTCCACCCTGTGACCACCTCCACTCTTGAAGCGACAGTGAGTACTCCAGCACCGGCCACCACCAAGCCACCTTATGTGTGTGATATTACAGTCCCCGATGCCTACTTGATCACAACTGGTAAGGCCCCGCGTCCGGTTGCCTCTCTGGGGAGGGGGCTTTTCCTAAGGTGTTCGTGAGCAGTGCTTACAGGAGACCTGAAATGCATCTATGTATGTAGAATACTTAGCCCAGTACCTGGCACTGAGCAAGCACCCTGAAGATTACCTATTAGTACTTTCAATAAAAGCAAATAGAGGATTTAAATGAACCATGGAGCTTTTGGTAGGGTCTTTGTCTTCAAAGCTCATAACTCAGTGGGCACACGGATGACATGGTTGAAAGGAAGCCCGTTCTCATTTAGTTCAAGCGGAGTCGGGCAGTTGCTTAAGGGTAACCTTGGCAATTTTACTATTCTTGCTTTTGCTTTTATATATTCCTGTAAATGTCATTTGGATCCCAAGGAAAGAAAAATGGAATGAATAAATGTCCTCTGAATGTAGTCACGGACTTTGATCCTCTGCCCCGCCTGTAGCCTCGGTTGGTGGCCAGCTGAGCTCCAGGGTCCCGAGCATTGTGGGCTGCTCCAGCCACATTGGGCTGCAGCCCACCTGGGGACATGCTGTACAAGGCGGACTTATCTCAAGGGCAGTGTCCAGGGAGGAGGCCTGCTCCATCAGCTCTCCATGAGAAGTGACTTGGACGTACATGACGTCTCGTGGGCTATGAGTGTGTGTTCGCCTCCAGCCTAATGCGACAGATCCTGGCTCTGTGAATTGGTTTTGGTGGGGATAGTTTTGATGAAGAAGGGAGAGAAAAATGGCAGGAGAAGTAGGGAAGAAGTGGAGTGGAGTGGACAAAGAGGAAGAGGAACGGGAAAAGGTGCAGGTGAGGACAGAGAAGAGCATGCCTGGTCCGTTTCCCCCATGCTGAGTGCGGTGGACCATGGAGCCTCTGCCCACCACCAGGACAGAGCCGCCACCCTCGCAGTGGGCTGGGACCCTGGCAGCCTTTGCTCTCCTCACCCCACAGTAACCTCTGCAATTCAGGTGACAAATCGTTACTGAGCACTTCGTAAGTGTGTGTCCTTCTCGAGGCTGTGAGGGATAGAGTCAAGGAAGACATGGTCTTAGAGCCTGGTAGGGCAGGCGGTGAGCCATGGGCTGGAGATTAGGTAATGGGAGGAGAAGATGACTGGTAGGAAATGAGGTTGGAACAAAATTAGACACTTTAATCTGCAGGACGAAGGCAGTTGAGCCGTGAGAGGAGTTTCTCATTGACAAAAATATTTTCATTCTTTTTTTTTTTTTCCTAGAGTGGTTGGATGTAAGGAGCTTATTAAAAGAGTTACTGAAAGCATCTTTATCTCTGAGATACTAGGATATTTATGATACAATGTTGTATCTTTTAAAATTTTTCTGCAAACAACTGGAAACCATTTTAGGAGTACCTCTGAGAACACTGGGCATCATATAGGATAAATTTAACTTTCATATATGATATACATTTAATGACGTTTGGTGCCCTTTATTAGGTATCTATGTTTTAAAACTGCCTTTTGGAACAAAATTCACCTCTTACGAGTGTGCTTTGTCAGCTGTGCAGAGCACCCTGCTGTCACTTTGCGTTTGGAGGGGAGGTAGATGCCATCTCTCGCTTTCAGTAAGGCCTTTGACGAGAGGACAGATCAGCTCATTTCCAGTGCTGGTTTAGATTTGACTTGGTTGCTTTCTTTTTATCTATGAGAGAGTCCGGAGTGGGGTTCGAGGTGGTTCTTTCAGTGGAGTTCTGTAAGAAGGTAGAACCATTCTAGGTGCTCTTGATCCTTGGTGGCCTTGCAGGGAGACCCTTGACCACAGGTGTCCAGCAGAGGTGACCATGCTTCCCATCTGGCACCTTCCTGACCCATGCCCTCTTCTGGAGGGCTCCTCACCTCTCTTCTGCTGGCTCTGGGGAAACTATAGATAGTTGGCAAAATAATTGTAAGAGCTGTTTCTGGATGATTCTTTTTCTCCCCAAAGACTGTAGTTCTCACATCTCAATGTTCATTTTATAATACCTTCCTCAGATTGCTTAGAGCGGGTGGCAGTTATGGTGGCTGTGGGACCATGTAGAGCAGCACCTGGCTGTGGAGTCACATGCAGTACATGCTTTCTGCTTCCCCTGATGGTTCTTCTGTTTCTGACTTTCTGCCTCTATCCTTCCCCAAGCTTAGCTCTGGAGACCCTTCCTGTCCTCCTCTCCCCCTCCCCAGTCTGTTCTAGTTCTCCCTCCTTATTTCCTTTCTTAAATAGGACATCTTTCCATTCCCCCTTCTCCTTCCTGTTCATTCTGTCTTTCTCTTAAGATCCACGGATTCACTCTGATCCACTTGGAGCCTGTGCAGACCGTGGTGGCACTGGCATGACCCAGCAAGGTGCTCTAAGAAATGGATTTGTCCTAATGGTCTCATGAACTAAAGGAGTGATCCCCCTTACCATTTTATATCCGGGTCACTGATTTGTTGGAAAAACAATCAAATGTAACTTACATATTTTTTAAAAAAATTATTATTAGAGTGTTATAGTTATACCTAGCAGCTGGGTTGGTCCTGACAAACTCACACCTGCATGGAAGTCGACTTCAGTTCATGATCCCTCCCTTTCTCTCCTGTGCCCCCTCCCCTCTCCCATTCTCCTTTCTCTACTAGACTTCCTTTTGCTTGCCTATTAATTTATATTTGGATGGTTCTTTATGTAATCTTATCCTTCCCCCTCTTTTCCTTTATTTCACTCTAGCTTCCAAGTGTGAGAGAGAACATTTGACCTTTGAGTTTTTGAGTTTGGCTAATTTCACTTAGCATGATATTCTCCATCTCCATCCATTTACCAGCAAATGCTATAATTCTTTTTTATGGCTGAGTAGAACTCTGTTGCATATATATATATGTGTACACACACACACACACACACACACACATATAATTTATTAATCTATTCATATATTGATGGGCACACTTTTTTAAGAATAAAGAATGTGGAAGGATTCTAAAAATTAAGATCAGGGAAATGAAAAATGGAATAATAATATCAACTGCATCCTAATTTTGTGCTATGGCAAGTTGATAGAAGAGGAAGGAAAAAGTGGAGGGGGAAGGAAGGGCAAGCTTACTAAATACTCAGTAGACACAGAGCAGCAGGCATACACATGAGCATGAATTGTTAAATGGAACTTTTTAGATGTGAAAAAATTTCAACAGAACTAGGCTAACTAGGCTGTAGTATGAGAAATATTTTATTTCCTGCACAAAAATTTAAAATATGGGAATTGGGATAATGTTTTTCCCCCACCCTCAGTGGTGAACATTCTTCACCTGCTGCTTTGAAGAGGGAGGAGTCCCTAGAAAGGAGGAGTCTTCTAGTTCTGTCGAGCAGCATCTTAAAGCCTTTAAAAACATTGCTTCTGAGAGCTTCTAAAGTCTGGTGTTTTGCCATTAGGGCCATAGCCAGGGGACAACCTGCTGTTTGTTGGGATAAAAACGGGAACTGGAAGCTCTTTGCCTCTGGCTAACACATTTTGGCATAGCTTGGTATTCCTGGTGACACTCAGCTGCACGCGGTGGTTGTCTTTGATCTAGTGCTGGCCAGAAGAGCAGTGCAGGAGTACATCATCACCTCCATCAAGGAAGTGCTGAGGATTCACTTCAACCGTGCGGTGGAGCTGAAGGTGAGCCGGCTGGACGTGCGGTTGAGTCCGACGGCACGCGATGACGCCCTGCCAGTTCTTCCTCTAACCCCTCTGCTACTCCTTCCTGCTCATCCTCTCCATCTCCTCTCAATGTCATTTCATCGGGGAAGCCTCTCCTGATGCAGACAGGGTCAAGTTGAGTTCATTGGGGGGACATTTTGGCAGAGTTGGGACAGAGGGTCTCTCAGACCAGAGGTGACACTTTTGGTGATGACCTTAACAATTTTTGCTTCCCTTGATTTACATTAAAGGACTTGGATTTGAGTTTAAATTAAATCTCAGAGTGAGTACATATGCATCTTTCAGTACATTGAGTGAGACGGAGATGGATTTCTGAATCTTTTATACCAGTCCCCCCAGTGCCCCTTCTCCTAGATGAGCTGAGGGAGTCATGCTCTCTAGACCTGCGCCATCCACAAGGTGACTGGGAGCACACGAAATGGGGCTCTTGTCAGAAATTGAGATGTGCCCTAAGATGTGCTCCCATGTGGTGGAGCTGAAGATTTTAAGAATAGAGTGAAAAGAGGAATGGAAATATCTCCCTTTTAATTTTTTTTTGTATTGACCACATATTGAATGATATTGTGTTGTGTTAAGTAAGGTGTATTTAAGATGAATTTACAGTGTTCTTATGTTTTTAATGTGGTCTCTAGAAATCTTAAAATTGTCTAAGTGGCTTCCATTGTATTTTGGACAGCAAATGCTTAATACAGAGTGAGTGCTCTTTTCTGTGTGGTTTAAACATGACGAACACCTTGAATTCTACTGTAGCTCGTTATTCAGTTCATATTACTGGCTATTGTTTCCTGCTGCTCTGGTAATTTTGAGCTGTTTTTGAGAAGATTGAAAGAATATAAGAATAACTAAAAAAATTTTGATTCTCTGTGAAGCACTACCCTTTCATTTAAAATACTGATATATATTTTTAAATTTAATGTATTATCTTTCTGCCCAGTACAACTTCCTCTCAGCTTGAATTGTCTTTTGTATTTTTTATTTCCCTAGGTTTATGAACTATTCACTGACTTCACTTTTCTGGTAACATCCGGTCCTTTTGTTTACACGGCAATATCAGTCATTAATGTGCTTATTAGTAGTAAACTTGTGCGTGACCAAACTCCTTTAATCCTGTCTGTGAAACCTTCTTTCTTCGTGCCAGAGTCCAGGTTCCAAGTCCAAACAGGTGAGACAACTGAGCATAGTTGTTTTGATTTGTAAGTAGAATTTCATTTTATTTTTGTATTTTTTAAAAATGGGAGATTATTTTAGAAATTATTCATTCATTTGTTTATTTTTTGAGATGGGGTCTGCTGTGTGCTCAGGCTAGACTCTGACTTCTAGTCAAGCCATTCTCCTGTCGTACAGCCCCTCGGGTGGCTGAGACTACAGGCGTGTGCTATTGCACCTGACTCTGTTATTTAATTTAGAAAATCTTTAAAATTATGGAAAAATTTCAAGCATATATAAAAGTACACAGACTAGTTTGATACCCCCCGTGTACCTACCATATGGTTTCCACAGTGTTCAGCTTCTAGCCAGACTCATTACATCTATACCCCCATTCACTTTCCCACCTGTCACATTATTTTGCAGTGAATCTCAGGCATTGTATCATCTCACTTACAAATATTTTAGCTTATACCTCTGAAAGATAAGGCCTGTTAAACACACAAGCTCACACCCACACATTCACACTCACATACATATATATCTGTCCACAAAATTATCACACTCCCTAAATTTAACAGTAGTTCCTTAATATCATACTTTTCTTTTTATTATAGACATTTTTAAATGTATACTGAAGTAGAATTACATATGCTCATCCTGAGCTTAAAATAAGTAAACATTTTACCAGTTCTTTTTATCTTTCCTCCACAGCTTTTTTGAGGACCCCAGAGTGTTTTAAGACAATGACAGATATTATGTCATTTTGCCCATAAATACTTAAGAATTCATCTCTAATGAATTTATATACCTTTGAAGTGTTTTGTCAGTAGTACCTTGTGATGCTCAAATTGTTATCTTAGGTGTTTTTCCATTTTAAGACAATACCAGTCACCCCCATATTGCATATATTTATTTGGTACAAATTTGGCTTTCTGCATTTCCATGACATGATCCATAGAAATAATACTCTCTGCCCTTGGGCCCAGGAAGCAACTTGATGTTCTGCTTATCCTTCTGCAGCCCCAAGAAGCAATTGAACTGCCAGTCCTCAGAAGTGTGGCCCCTGAGGGCCTGAGAAGCAGACAGGCAGACATGCTGTCACACCCTCAATCCTGGGAAGCAGCTGAGCATGTTGGCCCCTGGAGGCCCTGCACAGCTCTTGGACAATGATGGGTGCCCTGTATGATCCCACCAGAACATTCTGGCTCCCAGGCAAACTTTAGACACTGCAGGCACTGATAGGTACCCTGCCCCACTACCAGGCACTTCAGTGCATCCACCTGGGCCCATCAGAATGGTCTTGCCCCTACATAATGTGCAGAGAAACTGACATGTGCACCACAGATGGTGGTACAAGACTATAATTCCTGCAGCCTGGCCACTGAGACTTATGCAGATATTGCTAATGTTGATTATAGCTGAAGAAGCTCCACTGAATACCCACCTAGAACCAAAGCCAGTGCAGCCTTTCCAACCGCCATCCTAGGACATGCGGTCAGGAGAAGTCTTTTATTATGAAAGGCATGGTGTAAAGTTGGTAGAGGCAGCAGATCCACCAGGTACACCAATGTCAACGTAGGGACACAAGAAGCATGAAAAAACGCGACACCTACAAAGGAGCATGGCTCTAGCAATAGACCCCAAATAAAAGGAAATCAGTGAATTGCCTGAAAAAGATACAAAATAATGACTTTTTAAAAAACTATTTTTAGTTGTAGGTGGACACAATACCTGTATTTTATTTATTTATTTTTAAATTGTTGATGAACCTTTATTGTATTCATTTATTTGTTTGTGGTGCTGAGAATCAAGCCCAGTGCATCACACCTGTGAGGCACATGCTCTACCACTGAGCCACAACCCAGCTCTCTTTATTTTATTTTTATGTAGTGCTGAGGATCGAACCCAGTGCCTCATGCATGATAGGTGAGCGCTCTACTTCTGAGCCACAACCCCAGCCCCCAAATAATGACTTTTTAAGGACTTAATAAGATACAAGAGGACACAGACAATTCAGTGAAATTAAGAAAGGTAACTCCTGATAGAAATGAGAAATTCAGTAAAAAGTTAGCATTTCATAAAAAAGGGCCCAACATAAATCATGGGGCTAAAGAACTTAATCAATAGAAATAAAAAATACAGTAGAGAACCTCAACAGGAGAATAGATCTAGCAGAAGAAAAGGATTTCTGAACTTGAAGACAGGTCTTTTAAAATAACTTAGTGAGACCAAAAAACAACAAAAAATAAAGTATGAAGAAAGCCTTTGAGACTGCGAGACACCATTGAGTGAGCAAACATTCACAGTATGGGTATTCCAAAGGAGAAGAGAAGAGAAAAGGCATAGAAAAATCTATTCAATGAAATAATTGCTAAAAATGTTCAAAAACTTAGGAAAGATATGGATATTCAGGACCAGTAAGCTCAAAGAACCCCCGCAGATTCACCCAAAACGGATCCTCTCTGAGGCATATTATGGTCAAATCATCAAAAGTACAAGGTAGAATTCTAATGATAGCAAAAAAAAAAAAAAAGTTAGGTCACATATAAAGAAATCTCCATTATGCTAATAACAGACTTTGCAGCAGAAACGTTATAGTCCAGGAGAGAATGGATGACACAGTCAGATGCTGAAAGAAACGAAACAAACCCCTACCAACAAAGAGCACTCTGCAAAGCTATCCTTCAGAAATGAAAGAGAAATCAGCTCTTTTTAAGGCAAACAAAAACTGAGGGATTTTATAATCACCATACTGGACCTACAATAAATGCTTCAGAGAGCCCCACACTGGAAATGAAAGGGTAATAACCTCCACCATGAAACCTGTGAAAGTCTAAAACTTGCTAGTAGAGCAGATACACAGAAGAGGTCAATCAGTACACAAAATGACCAAGCCCCCAGACCTCAAAAACAGCAAGGGAGAAAGAAAGGAACAGAAGATCTACAAAACACCCAGAAAAAAACTAAGAAGATGACAGAAATATGGCTTTACTTATGAGTGATAACTTTGACGGTAACTAAATTCACCAATCAAAAAATATAGATAGACTGAATGGATCAAAAAATCAAACCAAGACAACAAAAAATGACTGTGTTGCCTACAAGAAACTCACTTCACCAAAAAAGACACACATAGACTGATAGAAAAGCGATGAAAAAGATATACCATGTAAATGGAAACCGGACGTGAGCTGAAGGAGCTATATTTATAGCAGATCAATGGACTTTAAGTGAAAAATTGTAAAGGGAGACAAAGAAGGGCCCTCTATAATGATAAAGGGATAAATTCAACAAGAAGAAACAACAATTATATATACACACAATGGACCCAGTTATGAAAAGCAGACATTATTTAAAGATTTAAAGGAGAGAGAGACTCTATTACAATAACACTGGGGACCCCAGCCCCTCATTTCATCAACGGACAGGTGGTTCAGACAAAAGAATCAACACAGTAACGTTGGAGTTGGACCATACTGCAGACCCAGTGGACCTGATAGACATTTACAGAACATTTTACCCACCAGTTGCAGAATACACATTCTTCTGTCAACACAGGGAATGTTCTCCATTATGGACCATATGTCCAGCCACAAAACAAGTCTCAACAAATTAAAAAAAAATTGAAATCATAGCTCGTGTTTTCTCTGATTACCATGGAATAAAACTAGAAATTGGCAAGAGCAACTTTATACATTGTACTAATACATGAGCATTCACAACATTCTTTTGAATGGCCAAGTGGATCAACAAAGAAATCAAAAGGAAATTAAAATCTTCTTGAAACAAATGAAAATGTAAATGACATACCCAAACCGGTGGGATATAGCAAAAGCAGTGCTAAGAGGGGAATTTATAGCAATCAGTGCCTACATCAAAGAAAAGTAAAAGAAAAATTTCAAAGCAACCTAATGACACAACTAAAGAACTAGCTAGTGAAGCCAGCACAAACCAAATGCAAAATTAGTAGAAATAACAAGGGTCAGAGGAGAAATAAATACTGATGAAAGAAACAATTAGAAAGATCAATGAAATGTTGGGTTTTTTTTTTAAAAGATAGATACAATTGATAAATCTTTAACTAGACTAACAGAGAGGGAGGAGAGGAGAGGAGAGGGGAGGAGAGGGGAGGAGAGAGGGAGAGGGAGAGGGAGAGGGAGAGGGAGAGGGAGAGGGAGAGAAAGGGAGGGGAAAGAGAAGGTGGGGGTGGGCACAGCCCAAATAAATAAACTCAGAGATGAAAAGGAAGACATTGCAGCTGATACCACAGCAATATGAGAGATCATCCTTAGGGACTATTAGGAGCAACTGTATATCCACAAATTTGAAAATTCAGAAGAAATGGATAAATTTTTACACATATGTAACTTACCAAAATTGAACCACAAATATGTAGGAAACCTGAGCAGACCAATAACAAATAATGAGATTGAATTAGTAATAAAATGTCTCTCAACAAAAACAAAATCCAGGATCAGATGGCTTCGCTGTCGAATTTTATAAACTCTTTAAGGAAGAACTGACGCCAGTTCTTCTCAAGCTATTCCAAAGCCTTGAAAACGAGGGAACTCTTCTAAACATAGTCTTCAAAGCCACCTTATACAGATACTAAAACCAGACAAGGACATGACAATGATAAAAAAACTACAGTCCAATATTTCTGGTGAACATAGATGCCAAAATTCTCCATAAAACACTAGTGATGTGAATTTCATAATATGTAAAAAATATTACAGGGGATGGGAGGATTAAGTGAACTATAAAAAGGGCAAAGGGGAAAATGAAGAGTGGGGAAGGGAGGGGGTATAGGGTAGGAAAGACAGTGCAGCCATGGTCATCTACCCCAAGCACATGTATGAAGACATGAAGGATGTGACTCTACTTTATGTACAACCAGAGATATGAAAAGTCGTGCTTTATATGTGTAATATGAATTGTAATGCATTCTGTTGTCATATGTAACAAATTAAAATTAAAAAATTAAAAAAAATTACACACCATCATCAAGTGGGATTATCCCAAGGAGGAAAAGGAGATTCTACATATGCAAATCAATAAACACATCACAAGAAAGAATAAAGGACAAAAACCATGTAATCATCTCAACAGGTGCAGAAAAAGTGTTTGATAAAAGTCAACATCCCTTCATGATTAAAAACCCTCAAAAATTAAATACCGAATACTTAACATAGTAAAGGTTGCATATGAGAAACACATAGCCAACCTCTTGCTGAATGGGAAAAATTAAAATTGTCATTTCTATTATCTGGAATAAGACAACACTGTCGATTGTCACCACTGTTATCCAATGCAGTACTGGAAGTCTTGGCCAGAGCTGTTGGGCAAGGAAATAAAGAGCAGCCAGATGCCAAAGAGCTAGGCAGTCGAAGTGTCCCTGTTTGCAGCAACATGACTTTATAGCTAGAAAAACCTGAAGACTCTAAAAACAAAAAACCTGTTAGATCTTATGAATTCAGCAAGGTTGTAGGATACAAAAATCAACAAGTAAGAATCAGTAGTGCCTTAATACACCAGTACTGATACTCCTGAGAAAGAAATCAAGAAGGTATCCCCTTCACGATAGCTACCCAAACAAACAATAACAACAAGAAAGCACTTGGGAATAAGTAAACTGAGAAGTGAATGGTCTCTACGATGAAGAGCATAAAATGCTGATCCAAGAAATTAAAAGGGACACACACACAGTAAAAAATGGGAACATATTCTATGTCCAAGGATTGAAAGAATTAATATTGTTAAAATGTCCATCATGGGGCTGGGGATGTGGCTCAAGTGATAGCGTGCTCACCTGGCATGTGTGAGGCACTGGGTTCGATCTTCACCACCACATAAATGTAAAATAAAGATATTGTGTCCACCTGGGGCTGAAAAATAAATATTTTTAAAAAATGTCCATCATACTCAAGCAATCTATAGATTCAGTGCATTTCCTATGAAAATAACAATGATGTTCCTAACAGAAGTAGAAAAAAAATTTATAAAATTTGTGTGGAACCATGAAAGAACCAGAATAGTCAAAGAAATCCTGATCAAAAAAAGCAGAACTGGCTGGGTGTTGTAGTGTATACCTACAATCCCAGCTACATGGGAGGCTGAGGCAGGAGGATTGCAAGTTTGAGGCTAGCCTGAACAACTTAGACCCTGTTTGAAAATAAGAAATAAAAAATTAGCTCAAAGTAAGAAACACAAAATTAGCTCAATGTGTAGCTCAATGGTAGATGAGCCTGTGTTCAAGGATTCTATCCTCATTGCGAAACAAACAAAAACCCCAAAGCTGGAGGAATTACAATACCTGACTTCAAAACATACACAGTGATAATAACCAAAGCAGCTTGTACTGCACAAAAACAGACTTGAACCCCAGTGGAACAGAATGGATAACCTGGTATAGGCCCACGTATTTACAGCCAACTGACTTTTCACAAAAACATACATTGGAAAAAAGGATGTTCTCTTCGATACATGGTGTGGGAAAACTGGATATCCATGAAGAAGAGAGAAACTAGATCCCTATTTCTTCTCCATATACAAAAACCAACTCAAGGGGCTGAGAGTGTGGCTTAGTGGTAAATTGCTTGCCTAGCATGTGTGAGGCCCTAGGTTCAATGAATTGCCAGTATCACACACACACAGACAAAAGGAAAAAAGTCAACTCAAAGTAGACATGAAAACTATGAAACTACTAGAATAAAATATAGTGGAAATCCTTTAGGACATTGGTCTGGGCAAGGTTTTTTGGATATGACCCAAAAAGTATAGGCAACAAAAGCAGAATTGACAAATGGGGTTGCATCAAATTCAAAAGTCTCTGAAAGGCAAAGGAGTCAAACAGCGAAGAGATGGTCTTCAGAGGGGAGAAATGATTGCAAACTCTGCATCTGACAAGTGTTTCCCTTCTACAATGTGTAAGGAACTCAACAGTAAAACCCCAAACAATCTGATTAAGAAATGAATAAATGACCATAGGAGACATTTATCTAAATAAATTATATGTGTGGCCAACAGGTATATACTAAGGGCCACCAATTGCCCAGCCTCACTAAGCATCAGAGAATCACAAATCAGAACCGTGGTGAGAGATTGACTCGCTTCGGAATGGCTATACCAAAAAGACAGAAAAAAAAAAAAAAAATCAACATGGCAAGGATGAAGAGAAGAGGGAACTCTCATACATTGTCGGTGGGAGTGTAAATTTGTATATGCATTACGGAAAAGAACATTCATATATTCATTTGAGGAAACATGGGGGTTCCTCAAAAACTAGAAGTTTGCTACCATATGGTCCAGCAATAGCACTACTGGATATATGTCCAAAGTAATTGGTATGTTGAAGAGACACCTGCACTTGCATGGTTAGTTTCAGCTCTATTTACAAAAGCTAAGACAGGGACTCAACCTAGACCTTCATTGCCAGTTAAATGCATAAAGAAAATGTGATATATATACACAATGGAATATTATTTGGGCAGAAAGAAGAATGGAATTCTGTCATTTGCAGCAACGTGAATGGAACTAGAGGACATTAAGTAAAATAAGTTAGGGATAGAAAGCCAGATACCACGTGTTCTCATTTACAGATGGAGGCCGAAAAGCTGATGTCAAAGAAGTAGGGAGTAAGATTGGTGGTTACCAGAGCCTGGAAGGGATGTGGGTGGGGAAGGAGGGCTGGAGAGGACTTCTGATGTTCCGTAGCACAGAATAACTATGGTTAAAAACAATTAATTGTCTCTTTTTAAAATAACTATTAGAGAGGATTTTGAACGATCCCAGCACCAAGAAATGATAAATGCTTGAGGGGAGAGACGTGCCAGTCACTCTGATCTAATAGTTATATGCTGTATACATGCATGGAAACGTTATGCCCTACCCCAAATATGTATAATCGTTATGTGTTAATTAAAAACAAAAATCTATTTAAAAAGTTCATATTAAAAAAGAGAAATAAGCTGGGCGTGGTGGTGCATGCTGGGAATCCCAGCAGGAAGATCAAGAGTTTATCATCAGCCTCAGCAACTTAGCGAGGCCCTAAGCAACTTAGTGAGACCCTGTCTCAAAATAAAAAAATAAAAAAGGGCTGAGGATGTGGCCCCGTGTTTAAGCACCCCTAGGTTCAATCCCTGGTACCAAAAATTAAGTAAATAAATAAATTTAATAAAAAAAATTTTAAAAGAATGTTTGAAAAATAGAGAAATAAAGCACGGTAGGACTTGATCGCATTCTATGGGTGAATTTGTTGATTTGGGTTCTATTTTTTTCACTCTCTTCATTCCGTAATCCTCAAGAAGCACCTCACTCATGGGACTTGATTGCTGTCCTTGTTTTCAGTGCTTCAGTTCGTGCCTCCAAATGTGGATACTGGCTTCTGCAACTTCACCCAGCGCATCGAGAAAGGCCTGCTGACGGCCCTCTTTGAAGTGAGGAAGCAGCACCCGGGGACGTACAACCTCACGGTGCAGGTGAGACTGTCCCTGGATGCCGAACTGAATGGGAATCCTGTAGAGGGGAAACTGCCCCCCAGTGTTTCATGTGCTCAACCCTCATTGCCCCCAGTGGGGGAAACCCAGGTGGTGTGTCCCCGGGTCATCTCCCTGCAGTACAGCAGGAGTCTGGTAGGCACGGCTTGAGCATCTTGGAGACCGCAGAGAAGCTGACAACCAGGGAGCTCGGGTGTGGTGAGCTGAGGACATGACCATGGGCAGGAAATTCAAGAATGTTCTGAAAAGCAATGCTGTCCGTCTAAACAGCCAAGGGGGAGTGCCTCAACATACTGGTGTTTTCCTAAATGTTGTGTATCCCTCATCCAAAATGCTTGGACCAGGAGTGTTTCAGATTCCAGAGTTTTTCAGATTTGGGAATCTTTGTGTAGACTTTACTGATTGAGTTTCCCAGATACTGAAAATCTGAAAATCAGGCTAGGGAGGCTCTGCCTGTCTTATGGGATACCTGAGTGCAGCACTCAGTCTAAGCCGAGGCAGTGGCTTCGTGTCCCAGGCCTGGCTTTGTACAGATCGTATGGAAACTGCTGATGTTTTCACATTTCTTTGTTTTTTTTTCCCCTTCATATTCTTTGTTCTAACATGCCTGTTATCTAGATCTTGGTGCCTCTGGATTCACCTTCCATATTTCTTATTTTTCCCTCACATTTTCCATGTCTGTTTATTCTCTATTTTTTACAGATTGTCTAAACGGTCCCACCAGGTCACTAACGCTGTCATCCTCTCTGGACATTGCATTATTCATCCTCCTGTAGAATTTTTCTTTAGCAAACCCCTCTCTCTTTTTTTTTTCCATTTTTCTTTGCTTCTTTTTCATAATAGCCTTTCCTTCCACGATGCAGGTCGTCGTGAACGACAGTGCAGGGTCACCTTGAGAGTCTCTCTCTGAGGATGTTAATTTGAATTTTAAAAAATTCTACTCCGTTTCCTACGCGGTGTGTGCTTTCTCTGCAGTCCTTGCTCTGTGTGCTGGTCTTGCTCCTTCCCCCCTGCGCTTGTCTGGAGGTGCCCAGGTTGCTAATGCTGGTGGCCGGTCCAGATCCCTACAGCCATGTGCCCGCCCTGTCTCCTAACGGGGGATTCCCAGGGTGCTGGCAGCTGGGCAGAACATACTGGTGCGGGCTTCCCAGCACAGCACGTGGTCAGAGGTGGGCAGAAGGGGCCACTGTCAGGATGAGGCAGAGATGCACTGACCTCTTTTTCATGGCAGGACGGAGCTTTCTTTCCTTTTTCTCTTGCATGTCCTGGACTTACCTGTCTCTGCCCTCTGTCTTAATAGGGTCCAAACCCACAAGGGGCCTTTTGTTCCCCAGGGACTTGTTTTCCTCTGGGAGCAGTTCTTTGGCCTGTGTTGGCCTGGATGTGGCATTGAGAAGTGAGAGAGGAGGAAGGGATCCGGGCAGCTCTTTGGCACAGATCTTTTAATTAATCATACTCATACCGATTACCTCTCTGGCCTGCTTTTGTTCTCTGTTCCTCTGCTTTCCCCGGGGTGTCTCTCTGGGCCCTCCTTGGGGAATGGCTCTGCTGTGCGCTCTGCCTGTGTAGGTTTTGGGTCTCAGTTCCCTCCGTTCTGGTTTATTTCAACATGATCCTGTCCTTTCTCCATCTTCCAGAAATTTGACAGACTCTGGGCTTCCCCTCTTCTCAGTGCTGTTGTGGATTTATTCCCCTTTGTTCAGCTTCTTGTTATTTCAGTGGGATTTGGGTGTGAGGCAGAGCTGGGGAAGGATTATAAATACATGAGCTCAGTGCATCATTTAATGTAAAAAGCATTTTCAATAAATGGAGTGTTTAAAGTCTTGCAAAAGGGAACCAGGTTAGCAAGCCAGATATTTTTCCTTTGATAACTTTACCTCTTTTAAAAACATTGATGTCAGAGCTGTGAGAGAGAACGCATCGTCCAGCTTGCAGATGAATGTTTTAATTTATTTTAGAAGCTTCTTCTGACTTTTCTTCTTTCAGATCTTGAACGTCACTGTTGGTTCCTCAAGGATGGCCTCTCGGCGGGGCCCGGTGAATATTATCTTTGCTGTTAAAAACACACAAGGATTTTTGAATGGGTCAGAGGTGAGCGAGCTGCTCAGGAACCTGAGCGTGGTGGAGTTCAGCTTCTACCTGGGGTACCCGGTGCTGCAGATCGCAGAACGTGAGTACCGCATGCTTTTGAGGCTCAGGGGAAGTGGCTGCTGACATTTTTGCCGGTGGACCAGTTTTTTAAAATATTTTGAATTTTTAAAAGAGACTACTTTTTTAGAGCAGCTTCAGGTTCACAGCAAATATGACCTGAAGATATGGAGATTCCTATCATACCCCTTCCCTTCATGGATAGCCTCTCCCCTGACAACACCGGGCCAGAGTGGTCCATTTGTTACAGTCAAGGAACCTACATTGACACACCATTACCACCCAGATGCCATAATTTATGTCAGAGCTGACTTTTTAAAAAAAATTTTATTTGTTCTTTTTAGATATACATGACAATAGAATGTATTTCCACCTATTATACATACGTGGAATATAATTTCCCATTCTTGTGGTTGTATGTGATGTGGAGTTCCACTGATCGTGTATTCATATGTGAACATAGGAAAGTTATGTCTAGTTCATTCTACTGTCTTTCCCATTCTCATCCTTCCTCCCTCAGCTTCATTCCCCTTTGTCTAATCCAGTGAACTTCTATTCTTCCCCAGAGAGAACATTCAGCCTTTGTTTTTTTGGGATTGGCTTATTTCACTTAGCATAATAGTCTCCAGTTCCATCCATTTACTGGCAAATGTCATAATTTCATTCTTCTTTATGGCTGAATAACATTCCATTGTGTATATATACCATATTTTCTTTATCCACTCATTTGTTGAAGGGCACTAGCTTGATTCCATAGTCTAGCTATCATGAATTGAGCTGCTATAAACATTGATGTGGCTGCGTCACTGTAGTGTGCTGATTTTAAGTCCTTTGGGTATATACCAAGGAGTGGGATAGCTGGGTCAAATGGTGGTTTCATTCTGAGTTTTCTGAGGAATCTCCATACTGCTTTCCAGAGTGGTTGCACCAATTTGCAGTCAGGACTCCCTCTTGATGATGTGTGTTCTTGAGTTTGGGCAAATGTACAGTGATATACCATTGTAATGTCGTACAGAGTAGTTTCACCGGGACTTCCTTTTCAAAGGAAATATTTGACTGAACTCCAGAGTATAAATCAGATAAAATCAGAACGTATCAGAATTTAACCAGGTGGCTCTCCAGAGCCCTCCTCCAGTGCTGGGCTTCTCTGTGACTTTGAGAGTAAAGGGGTACATTAAAGAGTATTCTAGTTCTAGAAAAGGGCAGCAGTATAGTGATGGGGAATAGGTCTGTGGCTGTCCGGGGCTGGTGTGGGAGGAAGTCTGACTATAGCAGCGTGGCAGGAGGTGGTTTAGGGAATGATGGGACTGTCTGTACCCCACCCTGGTGTCCACATGACTGTGCATATGGATCAAAACCCATAAAATTGGAAATCGAAAGGAGTGAATTTTACTGTGTGTTAATTTAAAGATACAATGTAATAAGTGAAAACAAAAGATACAATGTAATAAGTGAAAACAAAACAAAAGATACAATGTAATAAGTGAAAACAAAACTGAAGCAATAAGGTTCACAGAGCCATTGGAGGTGATGGTGAGGAAGGGAGAATGTTTACCTCAAAAATGGAACATTCTAGAGTTGAAGTCAGACAAAAAAGTATCAGATTCTTTTTCAAAATGGAGCAGCCAAGCAGCCTAAGGACTTCACCTTTTTCAGATTATTGGTGATTAAGTTCAAAAGAATAATGTAGAAAATAAGAAGTAGACAGGGATATAGCAACCTCCAGTTGTGCATATTATACAACAGCTAAAATAATAAGTGTGCTGGGCAGCAGAGGTGTGCTGAGACTGTTCCAGGCAAGCCAGGATACACGGTCACTTTGCCCTGGGTCACTGCTGGGAAAGCCCAGGGCTCTGAGAGCACAGTGGGAACCCATTGCCTGGAACAGTGACCTCCATGGAACTTGAGGGGCGTCTCTCTGGGAAGCAGTGCCCTGTGTTGGGGCTGGGGAAGGCCTGCTGTTTCTGTTGTCCTTCTCTCTCCTAGAGACACCATGCCCAGAATCTGCCTCCCGTCTGGTCATCACACTGGCCTGGCACAGTGTCCTCCCTTATTTAGAGCGCAGTGGCATGGCAGGGATGCTCCGGATGGCTCACCTGGTGCTCCCAGGGCGCTGGCCTTTCTGACTGTTGCAAACGTGTTTCTTACAGATTCTCTCCTCCCCATCTCTTTCCTTTTTGTAGCCTTCCAGTACCCACAGCTCAACCTATCTCAGTTACTGAAGTCCTCCTGGGTCAGAACAGGTGAGTAGAGCTGGCATAATGTTTTGGGAACTGTAAGAATGAGAAGTCTGTGTGGGCATATTGAGAATGAGACGCCTTTCCTGTTTCCTAAATTGAGGACAAAATGTACTTTAAATTCTTGGCAGAGAATGAATGAGAAAGGGATTCAAATTGGGCTATGGGAAAGTGTCCCACTGAGTTGTGGCACAAAAAGGATTGGCCTTCTTTAAAATTTATACATAAGTCCAGGGCAGAATCTAACCAGAACTCACAATGTCCCGACCTGGAACAAGATGAGGTTCAGAAGTGAGGATCTTTTTTCCTAAAATTGTTATTTGTTGGTTTAGAAAGACAAGTAAGATAGTTAAACTGCCACAGGGGCCCACAGCAGCTACTTAGAGGGAGGGCGTCGCAGAGAGAGAATTTCTAACCAGGTCCACGCGTCTAACCAACAATTAGACACTCTCTTGGTGTCAGAGTACAAGCAGCATGTGATTGGCACAGGTAAGGAGTATGTCAAGCAGCGTCATCACCATTTACGGGATGCCAGTTCTTACTGAACATACAGCGTGCTGTGCAAGGGCCTGCCTCTTTGCATGGCATGGGGCCTTGTTTTCTAGATGATTTTCATAGCGATTGAGTGACTTGCCTAAGGTTGTATCGCACAGAGGATTGAAACTAGTTCTGGCTGGAAAGTACATGGTGCTTCCCTATGGACCATGCTGATAAGCTGATTATCTGTTTAGATAATCTCATCTAAAGTAGATACCAGAAGTCAGCCAGACACCCTTTCTTCAAGTGAGTTTGTAAGTCCAAGTCTTAAGACAAGATAAGAATGCACACTGTTTCCAGGAGTTTTGAGATAAGTGCAGACAGACACAAGGTTGGATCTCCCACAGATGCTCTTTGCTCCAGAGCTCCTACTGTGCTGCGTTCCCAGGTTTTCTGGCCACCCGGCTGCAGAACACTTAGATAAGATCAGAGCACGGCCAGGTCCACCCTCACCTGTGTCCATTTTGCCCACTCCTAAGGTCTCCTCTCTAGGATCAGCATTTATAGTAATCTGTGTTAATTTCGGCCTCACACACATATACACCCATGCAGTCCCACCCTTTCCGCCTCTGACGTGTTGGGGGCTGTGTGTTTCCTGTTGCATGCAGTCCTCCTGGGTGTTGTGGAGAAGCAGCTCCAGAACGAGGTGTTTCAAGCTGAGATGGAGCGCAAGCTGGCCCAGCTGCTCAGTGAGGTTCCCACCAGGAGGCGCATGTGGAGAAGGGCCACTGTGGCTGCAGGGAACAGCGTGGTGCAGGTACTCGTAGAGGGAGGGAGGAGGGAGAGGGGGAGCCCACTGAAAATCCTGTGCTTCATGTGCAAATGGGAAATGCAAGGAAAAAATTCTGATTTCAACTGATTGCTCTTTTGCACAGCAACTAATGTGGCAGCACTGGGGGCCAAGTAGCGTTGACCGAGTCCTAGTACGTGGGTGGTCTAGCACTGACCTGGGGAGCAGAGCACAAGGATTGCTACTAGATTGCCATAATAATGCAAGAGCTTACTTTTTTGAAGAGTGTTTTTTTTTTAATTACCAAAAATGTATTTATGGCTGGAATTCATTATAAACATGAATTGTTTATCTGGAAGAGACCTTAAGAGATGGAGAGAGGGTCTCTTTCTGTCTCCCACCAACATGGTTGTCTTGTGTTACCCCAAGTCTCCTTCACGTTGGTGAACTGGCAGACAGATTCCAAAAGATAGATTGGTTTGAACTTAAGGGTGACCCATTTTAAATGCACAGACTCATAAGACACTGGGAGTTGGGCTGTTATTTGTTCCTTTTCTAGGTGAATGATGTGGGCTTTTTCTTCTTTACCAACCGCTAAGAAAATGGGCTGTTTAGAATGACTGTATTTCAGAAAAAGGAAACTAGGATGACACTCAGAGGTGCAGGTGTGGGGCTGGCCGGCCTGGGGTGGGAGGCATCAGAGAAGATGTGCACATGGCATTGGGTAGGATGAGGGTGGCATATTTCCTGAGAAATGGCATCCTGGTCCCTGACACTCTCACCAAGTGCTTCCCTCCTGGCATTGCTGTGTACCCTCCAGAAATGTGATTCTTAGGTTTCTAAAGTGCTTCCTTTGTCAATTGCAGTAACTAGAGATAAATTTAAAAACTAATAAAAATTAAATAAGCATAAAACAAAGAATAAAAATTAAAATGAGTTATAAAACCTTTGCCTTGTTCTATAGCCCTTGGCTTCATAGAGTTCAAGATTTGAGTGTGGGTTGATTTATGCACACAAAGCAATTAGGAGCACCATAAAACTGTAAAAATAAGGTGCTAAATTGGATATGCAAGGTCCTGAAGTAGGAATATTAATTTGTGGAAGTTAACTGGTATACCTAATGTTAATGGTGCTGTATGATACAGGTGGCTTATAAAGCGTTTTGCTTCTCTTCCCCTTTTAAGTGGCCAAACAGTGAGGATGTAGTCAAGGATTTGTAGACAGGAGTACACAACTCCTCACCAGAACTTAATCTGTAAATGTGAAAAAGTTGAACAAACCTAAATGTCCAGCATTTGGAGATAAATAGCAAATATTTATTTGTTGGAATATTATGCTGCCATTATTTTTTTAAATTAGAAATACAGAAGGATGTTTAAGTGAAAAGAGACTAAAAAAGACCTATATGATATAATCCAAATAGTAATATAGAATTCAAGGGAAAAAAGAATTGAAGGAAATATATCAAATTTACTCGGAGCCAGGTGCGATGGTGCATCCCACTAATTCCAGCGGCTCAGGAGGCTGAGGCAGGAGGATCAAGAATTCAAACCCAGCCTCAGCGACTTAGTGAGGTCCTAAGCAACTCAGGGAGATGCTATCTCTAAATAAGAAGATACAAAAAAGAGCTGGGGATGTGGCTCAGTTGTCCAGTGACCCTGAGTTCAATCCCCGGTAATCCTCCCCAGACCAAAAAAAAAAAAAAAAAGTTTACTCTGGTTTTCTTCAATTGGTTGAATTTCAGGAGATTTGAATTTTATTACCTTTTTTACATGTGAATTTTGAAATTTTGCCAATGGGCCATATGATTTTTATAGTGTACATGTGATTTTAATCAGAAACTAATTTTTAAAATGAAGTTGAAAATATTACCCAAAGTGATGGTCTCATGGTACCAGGCTCATCATGGTTCCAGACCCAGTCCAAGTAGCTGTCAGCTGGGGGATGAGGGATGCTGGAGCCAGACCTTCTGACCATTACATTCAGACGGGACCAGCTGGTGAGAGGCTTTAATCAGGGTGGCATCACTGGACATTTGGACATCCCTGGACATTCTTCTACAGGAAGAAATCATGCTAAATTTATCAAACTTTTTTTTACATTTTCTTTTTAGTTGTAGATGGACACAATACTCTTATTTTATTTATCTTTATTTTTATGTGGTATTGGGGATCCAACCCAGTGCCTCACACGTGCTAGGCAAGTGCTCTGCCACTGAGCCACAACCCGGGCCCCTTATCAAACTTTTATATAGGTTACGTATGTATATAGAGAAGAGGGACAGGTGGACATAATCTGCATGGTTTTCTGCAGCCTTTTGATAGCATTCCATTCTACAGGCTAATAAAAAGCCAGTCACCACAACATGGTCATGGGGAAGGAGGAGGTGACAGAGGAGGAGATGTGCTCAGTCAGCAGGCCTCCGGACAGCAGGCAGAGGGCAGGACAGACAAGTCTTCTCAGGATCAAATAGGATGGATGTTCTTTTTTAAAAATTTCTTTTTTTTAGTTGTAGATGGACAGCATGCCTTTATTTATTTTATTTGTTTATTTTTATGTGGTGCTGAGGATTGAATCCAGGACCTCACATGTGCTAGGCAAGCACTTTGCCACTAAGCTACAGCCCTAGCCGTTGACAGATGTTCTTAGAGGGTGAGAGTTTGGACCCAGGTTGTTAAGGATCTTTGGAGATGATTTAGATAAAGGAGTTTTCAGTGAAATCATGAAATCGTTGGTTTTCCAGAAGTTTCGCAAGGTGAAGGAGTCCAGCTGTGGTACCCAGAGCGTAGGACAATGTCACAAAGCCACACACGTGGATAGAGAAGTAGCAGCTGCATTTTAGCAACAGCAAAAGTACAGAACAAAAATTCAAAGTGCACGAGTAAAACAAGGCCCTCATTGAACTTTTTCTCAGGATAGGAACCTAGTGCTTTGCTGAAGGCTAAGAGGGCAATAAAATAGTTGCACATTATTAACAGAAATAGCAACGAAACAAACCTGTATGAGTGCAACACCCTGATACCTCAAGTGGTCAAGATGCTCAAGTGCGGATGGGAAGGGGCTGTCCTAGGACACAGAGGAAGTTAGGTTTTGGGACATATCCAGGTTTTATTTTATCTGGAAGATCACAAATTTACAAGGTTTACTATTCTTAAATGAGCAGTTCTCAGTGGGTGGTGCTTTTGCCCCACTCCCACTCCAGGGCACATTTGGCGATGTCTGGAGACATTTTTGATTGTCACTTTGTGTGGTGCAGGCCAAGAGTCAGTTGCTACTGGCATCTGGTGGGTAGAGGGCAGGGATGCTGCTAACCAACCTAGAATACTGGCCCCAAGTGTTGATAGTGCTGAGGTTGGGAGGAGGGAATGCTAGTTGACTCAAGAAGGGACTTCACAGGAAGGTCAGGAGTGGCCCCCATGGCTTGGTGAGCCTGTTGGAGCTTGTTGGCAACACTTCTGGACTGCCAGGCCTGGCCAGCCCTAAGTCCTGTGTATCTTGCTGGCCCTGACATCTCAGAGATACTGAGTACAACAAAGCACACTTGACATTCTGCACGGAGGAACTTCCATTTTAATCCCTCTTCCCATCAAGAGAGAGCACCTTCGTGATGTGGGGCTCTGGGCAGGGAAGGGGCTTGTTGTGAGGAGTAAATTCCTCGGTCACAGTCAGGGGTAGGTGGCCTGAGGATGGAAATGTGAACTTCTGCAATGCTGATGGTTTCTGTTCTCTCAGGTGGTCAATGTGTCCAGGCTGGAGGGAGATGACAATCCCGTGCAGCTCATCTACTTTGTGGAGGATCAAGACGGGGAGAGACTCAGTGCCGTCAAGTCTTCAGATCTGATTAACAAGATAGACCTTCAGAGAGCTGCGATTATCTTGGGGTACCGAATCCAAGGCGTTATTGCCCAGCGTAAGTCCCAACTATGTTGGGGCCCCAGACAGGCTTCTCTCAACATAAGCTCCAATGTAGGGCAGTAGATTTTTGTGTCTTAAGCCCTTATTATGAATTGACACTTATATAAGATGCCAGTTGTTAAAGCTTATTTGCTGAGACCCCCTTTGTTCTAGATTCTGGGGTCTTCTAGTTGTGGCGGGTACTGCTGCTTTGCCTATTTCCTCTTCCTGGTGTTGGAGTGAGTTACGGCACCTTACATCAATGCTAATGTCCTTCTCCCTTCTCCTGTGCTGTTTCTCTTTTTAAAAATTTTGACTTAGGCAAATTCGTGTGCTTGTTTTGTTATTATTCCAAAATCTCCTATGTCATGTTCTGAACGTTGGTGGGGACCGTGAGTCACGCAGGAAGCAGGGAGGTGCCCTCTGGATTTGTTGGCTCCTTTCAGGGTCTTTCAACACAAAGAAGTCCTTGATCCTTACCCTTTTCAATCCTGTCTCTCTCTCACCCTATCCTCACACCACTCCACAGTGTAGAAAGAGGTATTTTGATCTTTGTTTTTGTTGGAAAGTCCTTGGCCCCTGCTCCCTGGCCGTGCCTGTTCTTGGTGTCTCTTTTCCAACTCTCAGATTTTGGGTACATATTTAAAATGAAGGAAAAGGAGAGGCAAAACAAAAAAAAAAAGGAGAGGTCTATTTTCCAAATAGACCTTTACAAATCAGACTCTTTTAATGGGGATGTTTTTCCTCTGTGATCCAGAGAGTCCTTTTAAGAGCTTGGGGAGATTTGCTCTGGCACTAAAGCCATCAGGAAGTGTTTTAGCACCAGAGGATGCTGAAAAACTCCTTAGAGAGTGTAGATGGGAGGCAGAGCAGTTTCAAAAAGTGATGGCTTTGAAATTGTCCTTGGTAGCATGAGGTTCTTTGTGAAGTCTATCTTGTCCCTGGATACTAACCAGGTCAGGGCTCTGGATGCATATTTTCCATTTGATGGAAGATGGTGGGACGGAGTGAGCCGTAACGACGGGCAGGCTGTGCTGGCACACCTGAGATATGACTGCATGCTAGTGCCTTCTGTTTCAAGGCAGTGAGAAAATGGGAGCAAAAGCACTTCCTGACGTAGCTTTACATGTGACATTTGTGGTGGCAGGAGGGGCAGCTCAGACACTTAGCATTTTAAACAAGGTTGAGTACAGCAGGATACCACATCTTTTAGGCCTTCCTCCGTCTGGTCTTGGACCTCTCCTTCCCCAGTCCTGGGATTTCAGAGTTGGTGAAGGAGGCCTCAGCTGAAGCCAGGGCCATCCCAGGGGCTTTGGGACACTGGTGTTGACCTGGCTTTGCTCAGCCTCTGCCACTCCAGTGGTTTACCAGGCTGGAGCTCAGAGGAGTGTCCAGATCTCTCAGCTCCTTGGTAGATGCTGACATTGCTTCTCTGTTGTCAGTTGTTTTTATGCAAAGTGAGCTACGTATATAAATTACATTCACATTAAATCTTAAAATCCAAAGTTTTGACCCATTGTTATTTTCCCCCTGTCACCTGCAGTGTCTGCTCTGCCGGGGCCTTTTTCATAGTCCATCTGATTTAGAATGTTTGCTCCCTCCCTGTTGCTGTCAGGGGTCTAACCCAAACATAAACCTACCCTAAGAATCTTTTGTAATTACATCTTTGAGCAGATACTTTTAGATCCCACCACAGGTATTAGCAGTTATATGACATGAAGGAGCCTAGGACTCAGTCCCTGCCCATGTCAACTAAGATGGATTTGAAAAGACAAGACTAGATCCTGGCCAGATTGAAGAGCAGAGTGTGCAGTGTATTAAGCTGGTACATTTATATAATAAGAAGCATTTTAAAAGAATAATGAGGCACCATTTGCAAAACAAAGACAACAAGAACAAAAGAACTTAGACCAGGGAGAGATTAGTGTCCTCATGGGGGGTCCTTATGAGGCAGCTCTCTGGGGTGAGAGGGGTGGGCATTTAGGTTCCGTGACTGGATCTGAGTGGAAGAAGCATTGAGCATAGTCTGGGTCGGGCAAGGAGCCACTGAGGGAAACTGGGGGTCCAGGGGAATCGAAGTGTGATGGTCCAAGGTGTGAAAGAAGAGGGGGCTGATAGGGGTGGGTGGGCACGACATGGGCGAGGAGTGCCACATTCAAAGCATAAGATTTACTTGAATATGATTTAAAAAATTGACACTTGCTAGCTTAAATAAAAATGAAGACCCAAGTGTTCAGGGAGGGTCCCAGATGAGGAAGTAAAGGCAGCATAACCATGTGTTAGGACTTCAGTTTCCAAACACAGTGGTGCACACCTTAGAAAAATTTGAGAATCATTTTATCATTTTTAAAAAATCATGGTAACATATATGTAGCATAAAATTTACCATTTTTTTTTTCTATTGGTGCTGGGGATTGAGCCCAGGGCCCTGTGCATGCTAGACAAGTCCTTACCACTGAGCCACATTCCCCAGTCCTGCATTTTCACCATATTTAAGTGTATAATTCAATGACTTTAACTAGATTCACAGTGTTCACAACCATCTCCATTACCCGTTTCCAGAGCTCTTTGATTATCCCAAACAGAAACTCTACTTATTAAATAATCCCTCCTCATTTGCCACCCCCATCCTCTGTTCTTCTGTCTGTGTGTATAAACTAGCCTCATTTTGGGTGGAATCACGACACTCACCTTTTGGGGCCTGACTTCTTTCACTTAGCGGGTCTTCACGGTTCATCCAGTTGTAGTGTGTGTCAGCTTTCCCTTCCTTTTGAACAGTTGATGATATTCACCGTATCAACGTACCACATTTTGCTTATCCATTCGCCTGTTGATGGGTATTTGGGTTGTTTCCTCCTGTGGCTGTCATGATTGATGCCACTATGAACAGCACCATCTGTATCACCTTTCAGTTGCTGAAGGAGAAGTTACCATGGGCCTGTGTGCTCTTGCTGTGTCTCATGAGTTATTTCTCTCGGTACACGGCACTACTAGTACATGACGTTATTTTGCGACTCATTTACTTGATTGAACCTGTGTTCCTTGGGGGCTTTGTCTTCTTGTCCATCCTTGTATCCTCCTCTAGAACTGCATCTGGCACATGTAATAAGCACTTGTGGATCCAGATGCTGGGGTGCATGCCTGTGATGGCTCAGGAGGCTGAGGCAGGAGGATGGCAAGTTTGAGGCCGGCCTGGGTAACTTAGCAAAACCCTGTCTCAAAATAAATAAATAAATAAATAAATAAATAAATAAATAGTGCTGGGATGTAGCTTAATGGTGAAGTGCCCCTGGGTTCAATCCCTCATACTAAATAAATAAATAAATAAAATTTGAGAATAAGTGGAAAAACTTATTGAGTAGCAAGAGATGGGGAGCCTCCTAGTCGGGCTCCTGTGCTCTCTTGAGACCTGGGAGGGTGTGAATTCCAGCTGTGTCAGTTCTGTGGGCACAGCAGTGTTCTGTATAAGCAGCTGCTTTTCACTTTCTTTAAAAAAATATTTATTTATTTATTTTTATGTGGTGCTGAGGATCGAACCCAGTGCCTCACACATGTGCACAGCAAGCGCTCTGCCACTGAGCTGCAGCCTCAACCCTGCTTTTCACTTTTGATCAAAGTTTTACAGAACCATTTTTGGTGTGGAAATGTACTGCCATGAGAATTCAGAGATGAGCTAATAAACTAGAAGTCAGGAGACCTAGAACCAACCGAGCTTTGCCATTGAATTAGCCCCAGGCCTTTGGAAACCTCCGATGTGTCATCGTGATTGCTGATGTCCCCTGCAGGGGCATTGCATGTTGCCTGCTCATGGTTCGGGTCATTGGGAGGTTATAACTTACTGTCTTGAGTAGAAGGTCTGGGGACTTTCTGAGTTCCTCATGGAGGAAGACACATTCAGTCCGGTGCATGGGCTAAGAAGGCATTATTGAGAGACTGTCTTCCTGTCCACAGCTCTGGACAGGGTGAAGAGGCCATCTCCAGAGTCCCAGAGCAGCAACCTGTGGGTCACTGTTGGCGTGGTCATCCCGGTGCTGGTGGTGATGGTGATCATCGTCATCCTCTACTGGAAGCTCTGCCGTACGGACAAGCTGGACTTTCAGCCTGACACTGTGGCCAACATTCAGCAGCGGCAGAAGGTAAGGGTCGGGATCACTTGAGCAACCTTGTGGGACAGATATGGGTCCAGGCTCTAGATACTGAAAGGTGGGAGAGAGCTATTAAAGGAATCTTCTGGCTCAGGGGTGGTGTCCTCTGTCTTCGTGTATGCATAACCGAAAGCCCAGTTCTTCTATAGTGGACACATTCCAGGAAGGTAAGGCTGCAGAGGCTCAGAGGTGAAGTGAGCTCTGTGGTTTCATTTTTGAGAGTCAGTTGAAGATTGTATCCATCCTGAGTCATTTGAAGATCTTATCAATTGAGGATCATGTCTATCCTTTGTATGAATCTGGATCTCTTTCACCCCTGGATATTTTCAGAGAAGAGGGGCCAAGGAAATTTTTCTCACATCTATGTATGTTTTCTTTCATACACAACTCCACCAGACAGCTCCTTCATTCTCTGTCCGCCATGTTGGATGCCCATCTATCCACTCCATCATTCAGAATTGTAAATACATGCCTTAAACTTCTAACTTCAAATATACGAGCAGACATTTATTTGGTATTCTTTCAGTGTTATCAGTTCTTTTTGTTGTTGTTGTTCTGAGTGTTGGTCTGCTGAGAGCAATACTATATGATTTTTCTTGCAATAAATAATACCCATAATGTATCAGCTGTGGTTTCCAATTTGGTTTTCTTTGAGAAGAGCAAGGCAATCTGAGTGCAGAATTTTCTTGATTTTTTTTTTATGCCTCCCTCCACCCCCCACCCCACTTTGCAGTTTTTTAAAGTTGATTCGCCTACACCTAGTTCGACATCATTTTTTTTTAGCAGCCCATTTTACATGTGTCTTTTCCAAAGCACTCAACTTAGTTTTTATAGAAATAGCAATTCTCTTTTCACATGTATGTTTCAGCGGTATTCTATACTATCTTCATAGTCACATCAGGTTCAGAGCAAAGAAATTGACTTTGGGTCAGTGTCTGGCTCATATGCCAGAGTCCTAGGGAAGAACTCACCACAGACATTCACCTCAGCATGAATATCCGTGTGTTTAGGGAGTGGAAGGTGGTGGTCAATCTACTGTATTAACTTTTACCCTCTGTGGATCTCACAAATTTAGAGGACTCACCCCACTTTGATGGTACTTATTCTTTTGATTAAAAACAGGCAAGCAAAAGGCAAAAGAACAAGGAATAAGAGAACCTTTTAACTTCATTCTGATGATCTCAGTGTAGTTCTGCCTGTTATAAACCTTGACCTGCTGAATGAAAACACAGGTTTTACTTTTATTTTTATTTTATTTTTGTAAAAGTGAATGAAAATCGTCCATTTTTTTTCCTTATGAGTTCAGCAAAAAATGCAAAATCTTAATTAGATATCAAGCTTATGGCTATGTTAGAATCATTTCATATGTAAATGTTATATTTCCACTCATCTCCATGTATTATGTACATGGTCTGCTTGGGTTGTTCTATTGTTATACCAGTGAATGGCATGGAAAAAACACACGACACCTGAATGATTCATAGTGTGAATTTCATTGTAATAGGTTCAGCAATAGTTTGGGAGGTGTTATTCTTCTCATGAAAGGATTGCTATGGGGAAGTTTCAGCAGTGGAGCTGTGTGTGTAGGTCTTTGCTGGTCCATATCTCCTGATGCATGTACTCCTTGTGGAAACCCACCGTTCTTTGTTACTTCAATAAACTGAGAGGTCAGCGCATCTTGGGTTAAAAAAAGAATAGTCCCCCAGCTTTCTCCTTCTCTCATTTTACTTCTGAAATATTTTCATGTGTCAGACCATAATGTGAATCAGGTGGACAGAGTTTCAGATAGAACTTCTGGCCCTGGGGGCTGCTCTTTCCCTTTGGGTGGTGTGAGGACGTGTGATCCAAGTCGCCAGCCTTGTTGCGCCAAGGGTCCTCTGCAGGGAGGAGCCCGGGAGAACCGTCGCAGCCAGCACAGGCTGTCGGGAGGCCAGGCCAGGGTCTTGTTTTGCTGGCATAAGGACCCACCTTGCCGATGTGGTCATGGATTTGCAAGAGGGGAACCATGACCTTCCTTTAGTTTAAAAACAAACCTGTCTACCTCCTAGGTGCTCCTCCTAAGCCTGTATGGCCATAGCCTGTTCCTTGGGTGATCTGCGGGGCACTCTCCTGCCCTGGTACTTCAAGTTCCTTTTCCTGTGGCCTCTGTTTTCTCTCTCCATTCTACTCACTCGTCCATTGCTCCAGCTCTCCAGAATCTTCCAGCGAATCCCAGAACTGTAAACATCTGGAGACAATAAATCTACTGATCTACAGTCCACACCCCCTTCCCCTATAATGAGAAGATGACCTCTTCAGATTGTCTGGGAGTAGGTTATTTTTGAAATATGATAACAGGGAGAGGCTGTTCTGTCGTGTTTTGAGGCAGGGCCCTTTCTTATTTCTAATAATAAAGGGAAAAAATGCATTTAACTGTCCTTTATCTGTAATCTCTTTAATCTGTAGTCCTAAGTCATCATTTATCACTACCACCTGAAAAGCTGCTGCTCAGATCCTCTCCACCCTGAATGGCATTGGCTAGATACTGCAGGGCCTCAGGGAAACATGTTCCTTCTGATGGGGACAAGCCACACCCAGTTATTAGCTCTGATCCTAGTTATTGCCCAGATCTTAGCTCCTGAGTGATTGGCACCTGGGTTGCTCCTAAGGTCTGCACTGGGGGCCGCCGGAGGGAGCTGCCCCAGACCATAACTTTACACTCACCAAACTTCTGGGCCGGGTGGGCCAGGCTAAGTTACAAACACAAATAACATGTCATCACTGCCTTCCAGGGCCTTGGTGAGGGAGAGGAGCAGTCTCCCAAAAGCTGACACACAACAGTACAAGCAGGTTCTGTAGAGGGACCACTCCAGCAGGTGGCTGCCTCTGCCTTTGTGAGCAGGTGACACTGGGCTGCAGCTGAGAGGTGACAGAGGTGACATGGCTGCAGAAGGAATATGAGCAGCTCAGGCAAACCGGAGCAAGGTTGTAAGGAAAGGCACAGACCAAAGCCACTCAGACCCAGGTGGTGCAGTCAAGGCTGAGGGGCTTCAGGACATGGAGCGACTCTAAAAGGTACCAGGTACCGAAGACAGTCGGCAGCGACTTCAGGGCTCTCAGAAGGAACAGCAGCTTGGACAAGCTCCCATTAGCTGAGGTCCCTTGGGAAGCAGTGTAGAGTCAGTGACCTGAGGAGGAGCTGGCTGAGGGCTGCTTCCCTCCTGCTGGTCAGCCCGTGCCCCACGGCGGCCTGGAGTCTGTGCACAGGTACTCAGTTCACCCCACCAGCCGAGTGTGACCTGCCGTGGGCTTGGGTGGGAGACTCTTGGGTGCTGTCCAACAATTCCTAGGCCCAGGGTTTCCATGGCCCCATGCTGGCTACGCTGAAGACAAACAGATGGCAACAGCTTTGCCTTCTAAGTGGAAACAGCATGGTGGTTAGGGTTTTTTTTTTTTTTTTTTTTTTCAAATTATATAAGTCAAATAACCAATGATTGCAAATTTTTATTCAGACACTTTTGGGATTTGCTCTGTGGTTTCTATTGTCATCTTAAACTGCCCCTTCCCAGGGGGACAGGCTAACCCAAGCACTAGGGACTTCACTGTGTCTTGTTACATCTGTGTCTTATTATATTTATGACCCACGTGTCTTGAGATTCATCAGGCATCTTGCTGTTTGGCTGACCTGCTCCACCAGACCTCCCTGACTCCTTGGTGATGTGTTCCAGTGGGGCACAGACAATGTGGCTTGTTCCCTCCATAAAATAGGAAAGAAAGAAAGAACAAGAGCCTTCCTTCTTCAGAAAGAGCCGAGCCCTAACATGCATAATGAAGACTAATTAATTTCCATTCCTCTTTTATAAAATATGGAGTGGAGCCTGTTTGGTATGTGAGGCTGGGCATGCAGTGCCAGTCAGACTGAACTCTAGATTATTTAAAAAAAAAAAAAAGAAATGAAAAAACTAGGTACAATGATCCAGAAAATAGGGTTAAAACAAAAGGAGTGAATACCATACTGGGTATGTGTGTGTGTCTCCTCTTAATTTTTTCCTTCTGTGTGAGGATGGCTTTTGTGTATAAGTATGGATTAGTTGTCCCATTTCTGTTGTCACTGAAGATGGTGACTTGCCCAGCTGGTGAGAAGTGCAAGGATCTAACGGATATATTTAAAAATGTCAGCTGGATTCGACAGTAAGCCAATGGGATTTGTATACCTCATATGACACATAACCTTTTCTTGATTCCTCATAAAATTCAGAAAGTTTGGTGCTTCAGCTATCCTTTCTAAAGTTCATTAAGTCATCAAATATTTATTGAGGGTCTGTCCTGTGTCACGTCCTGTTGCTGACCTAACAAAACATTATATCCAAATTTATGTCTGTAACTATCTGATACCTGAGGACTCAACTGTTTACCTTAACTACTTGACGTTTCATCAACCAACAGCTATAATAATGCTGTCAGTCTCACTCGCCTGGCACTTTGGCATTTACGAAGTATCTTCACATCTATTTTCATGGTTGCTCCTTGCACGAGCCTGGCGGTTTCTCACGGAAGGCGTTTAGAGCCTACACTGGGGCTGTGCATGCAGCACACCGAGACCAGCACTGTTTGTGTTTTACATCAGTCCCCTCGGAGGCCCTTGCTTTGTTACAGCAAACCCCGGAATGTGTAAAAGAGATTGTTGCCCAGTTCTTAGAGGCACGCACTTTCTTACTGGGAAATATACCAAAAAGGATTTTAGCAAGATTTATGAAATGATGGCAGTGGCGGGTGGATGACTGCTGATGCTGTTACTCTTTTGCTTAGGAGCACTTTGTTTAAGGAGATAAAAGGAGGTGCAGCTGGAGTAAAGCAACCCCATAACATCCCAAGCCCACGTTAGGATTTTTATCATCAGCTATGAGCAATCGGTGTCAAATTTCAATTTTCTGGCTATCTTAAAAAGGCTCGACAGATGGACGCTCAGGAATTATATAGGTGGATTTGTACTTTCATTTCAAGATGAAAGCAATATTTATAATTATGTATTTCAATAAATTAGGATATTTCAAAGCCCAAGAGAGGGAACTCCATCCTAATCAATGGACTAGATTTTTTAAAGTTTAGAAGTTAACTTCTGGCTTTCCTAATTTTTCCTCTTTATCTATTATGAATCTATACACCCGTAGATAGATGCTTCACTTTTAAGAGTACAGTTGAATCTTTATGGAAATTCACAGCATGTGAGGAAAAAGCATTAGACTGGTGGTAACTGTTGGGTTTCCAAAAGGCATGTAGCTGATGGCTGCTAAGTACATTATTTATGAATCCAAACATGTTGCTGTGTAGTTAATCTAAATGAGCACACAGGCATGTCAAACAAGCAGGGAGGGATCACGAGGCACAGTGAACAAGAGACTTGCACTGGTGAGCTGAACACAGTATCCACTAGTTATTTGAAAGAAGTTAATGAAAATTTAAACTGCAAGTCTGAATAAACGCTCGGGAAGGTGCACAGCCCTATCTTAGCTCTATTAATTTTTTTTTTAAGTTTGAAATTGTAATTTTGATCTTTGAGACATGAATGTGGAAATTTTCACTCCTTTGTCTTTTGATGCAAAACACAGCATTAGGACCCGGAAAGCCCGTGCACAGGTGCTGGGAGCTCTTTAGTTGCTGAGGACCGTGAGCTGTGGCCAGCATGCACCCCAGGGCGCCTCCGTATTTCCCTGCAGAAGGTTGAATAGATCTTGACCGTCCTCTTCTGAGCTAGACACATAAAACACAGGGCCTGGCCGTGAGCTTGTCCCTGGGACAAAATGAGACAGTGCCTCAGGAGTTCTTCCTGCTGTCCTTTTGGTTCTCATTGATTCCTCCACTGGAGGGAGGCATCCTTGATGGTTGGGAGGTGCTAGAGGTGACGTTGTTAAATAGAAGCAACCTGCGGCCCCCTCTGCAGAATGTCTGAATTCAGAGCATCCTGGACATGGATTGATGATCCTGTTTCTTGTCTGCATTTCTCCCTTAAAGAAATATGTACAATATGGGGATGAGGCAGCCGTGCCACAGGTTTATTGTGCTTCAGTGAAAGGGATCTGCCAAGCACCCTGTTGTCTTTTCATTTGATGTCCTCACCTCTACACAGAGCACCCCAGGAAGGTTAGAGGCAGGGGTGTCTCCTGTAAGGTAGGAGAAAAGAGAATCCTGCTCCTAGGAAAATGTTTGTCAACCCCAGGGGTCCCCCGGTAGACCAATTCAAGACTGCTGTGCTAACCCAGTTTCCTGGATGAGGAAAATAATTTATGGGGGTGGAGGAGGTTGTGGAGTGGTAGGTCTGGGTTCATGGTTTGCAAAGCAGTGCTCCTGAGCCTAGGCGTGTGGTGCCCAGGGCCTGTCTTGTAACAGGATCTTATTAATTATAGAATGTAGGCTGTCAGTCTTTGCGCCTTTTGTTTCCAAGCAACTCTTTGTAAACTCTCTTTACAGTAAGTTTTGTCACCCTCTGCTGGCAGAAATCATTATTGCAGACCGCTTTCTTTCTACCGTTGATCCTAGATTTCTAGCATTAGAAGGCGCGCATGCATGCTTGTAATCCCAGCCACTCCAGAGGCTGAGTGAGACAGGAGGGTCACAAGTTGCAGGTTGGCCTCAGCGATTTAGTAAGACTACAGCAACTTAGCAAGACCCTGTCTCAAAATAAAAACAAGAACAGGGAATGTAGCTCTCTAGCAAAGTGTCCCTGAGTTCAACCCCCAGGAACCCAAACAAATAAACAAACAAACAAAAAAAAAGGGGGGGGGGAAGACATTAGGTGACACCCCTAAGCCACTGGTGTGCTTAAAGTTAACACAAATATGACAAAACTTTTTGCTTCTACTTGTAGTATATTGTCTAAAATCACTCCGGAGACTTGGACGGTCGTTTGACTGCTAGGACTATCTGCAGGTGTGGATAGTCTGCCCTGGAGGACTTTGGTTTTCCCGTGGTGTTCCTGCTGAGGACACTGCTCAGGGTGACTCTTCTGGCAGTTTATTTCCCTATAATCCTGGTGGCTCTTTGAGTATCATGAAAATAGGGTCATCAAAAATGGTGCCCTGGGCCTAGGGGTGCGACTCAGTGGTAGAGCTCTTGCCTAGCTTGCCCGAGGCTAAGTTCCATCTGCAGCCCTGAAAAAGAAAGCGTCTCTGGGTACCTCAGATGTCTCCTACCTCATCACAGGCCCAGAAACTGAGGCCCGGATCTGAGGTGTGGGCTCATGGGTCTGTTGTAGGTTTTGGATCGGTTGTTATCATATGCCTGGGGGGGGGGTGCCCCTGCCCCCACCGGTGTGAGTGTGGACTCTTCCTGAAGACCCCGTCCTCCTTCAGCTTTGTGCTCCCATTAAGTCTGTCGACCATTCCTTTCTAGAGATTCTTTACTCTTTGGCTTCGATTCCACTGAACTTTCCAAATTCTTCTCTTTTCCGGAAGCCACCTTCTGTTTTCTTGCCTGTTTCCTTCTCTCTTGTTAGCCGCACACTAGGAGATGTTCTCCAACACTGTATCTGTAGAGCCTGGATTCATTTTGAAAGGCCCCAGCTCCCCTGCATGCCACCTCCGGACAGGTGGCGTTCAGCCTTCCCTCTCAGCCCACGGGTCCCTAAGCCACTGCCCTCTGTCTCCAGCTGCACCGAGCTGCTTTCCTCTGGGACCTTCCTGCCATCTCCACTTAGCCTGTTTGAGGCGCGTCGTTTTATGCCCTCCGTCGTCATTCCCGCAGGACTCGCCGCTTGCCCCTGCCGTTTGGGATGCCCTGTCCGAAACTTCCGGCCATCGCTGGTCTGTTTGCTCTCCCTTTGTCTCTTGTGTCCTTCTGGTTTCCATCTCCTTCCTTCTGCATCCTGCTGCTACCTAGCCCTTCCCATTTTCTTGGCAAAGATTTTGGCTCAAGCCTTTGTGGTCTCATGCACGTGGCATCACGGGGCCCTCTTGCTGTTCCCTTGGGTCCTGTCTGCTTGGATCTTAGAACATTTAGTGGTCTCCTGATTGCCCAGGAGCTGGCGCTTGGGGATGTGTGTGCGCAGGTTGCCTTCTCTCCTTCTCCCCCGCTTCTACATCCCGGCCCCTCTAGAGCAGCTGATGTGACCTCTTTGGGCCTCAGGATTCTCTGGCCCTGACATAATCAGGAACATGTTCTTTGTAGTTTTGCCTGTCCTCAGGGCCTGCCTTAAGTCCCTCTTTCCCTATAAAGAGTGTGTCACCTTGTCTCTCTCTCGCTAGTCCACTGTGACAAGGGGGCAGGTGCTGTGTTGGAATGGCTTTTCTATTACGGTCTAGCTATTTAATCCTTGTACTCTTGTTTAATCCTTTGCTGGCATCTGTCACAAATTCTAGGAATAAACAGAACCTTGTACACAGTCAATGTCATAGAGACGCTTGTTGGGTTGGGTCGGTGGCATGGGTGGCACAGTCTTGGGTTGGAGTTGTGCTCGTCTTGTCAAGCCCTCGTAACCTCTCTTCACAGTGCTCAGATTTCACAGTAACCACCTTGTTTGTGTGTCTGCCTGTGTGTGTGTGTTTTAGCTGCAGATCCCTAGCGTGAAGGGCTTCGATTTTGCTAAGCAGCATCTGGGTCAGCACAATAAAGATGACATCTTGATTATTCATGAGCCAGCACCACTGCCAGGACCTGTGAAGGACCACACCACGCCCTCTGAAAATGGAGACGTGCCAAGCCCCAAGTCAAAGATCCCTGCCAAGAACGTCCGCCACAGAGGAAGGTTATTATTGGGCTTTCTGGATTGTTCTTTGTTGCAGAGCGTGTTTCTGTTCTCAGGTTGTCCATTGCCAGTCTCAGCAGGGCTGAGGGTGAGTATCGCCCAGTGTCTGAAGCCTCGGATCCTGATGACTTGCCCAGAGGCACACACAGACTTGGGAGTGCTCTCGCCTGCTCCGCAGGGTTACCAAAGGAGGCTGTGCAATTATTTCCTCAAGTTATTAAAGGTTAGGAATCACCACCTGTGACACTTTGGCAGTAGTGGCCTCAGATTGGATTAGGGACAGGCCAAGTCCAGCGTGTCTGTTCTAGGTGAGCGTGGGAGGCGGTCTGGTGATCATAAGCAAAGGATGGATACAAAGCTCAAAGCGCACAGCCCACCTACATGCTTGGCCAGCGCAGGCTTCTTTGCTTTTCCATCACCGCTTTGTCTACAGGTGACCCTCATCACGTCCTCCAGTGAGTTTTGCTTTTCTCCAGCTTCCCACGCTGTCACCTTTGTTAGCACAATGCACAGGACTCTCCACAGCCTCCCAGCTCACCATTCCTATTTCCGATACTTCCTATCAATCAATCAATCAATCAATAAAGCATATGGAGCATTACTTAATTTTCCAAACTACCAGTAAGTCCATGGCTGCCCTCTGATCCTGTGAGATTGGCTGGAGTCATGTAACAGGAGACCAAGTTCACACTCAGGTTTTATGGGACTGACTTGAGGTCATAGCACCACCAGGATTTGGCTACTGACGCCTCAGATTACCAGCCGGCCTCTGAGCTTCGGACTGTAACTCTCAGTTAGCTGTGGGGAGTGAAAACGTGTGTGGCCACACCAACATTCAAAACAATGCCATCATTTCCATCTGATCAGAAAACCCACCCCAGGTGTCTGACCTGGTTATAAGAATGTAACGGATGTAAGTGCATGATCTTTGTGAAAGAAAATGAATTATGCAGAGACATGCTACTTGCTTAATTATTTTCCAGGCTAAGAATGAATTGAATTATTAAAAATGATTTAATATACTAGTAAAGCTTGGCAGGATATTTTTTTTCTCCCCAGTAGCCTCCTCATAAACTTCTAGTCCTATCATCTCAGTTGTGTTTTATAGCCATGGATTCAAACTACTGTGAATCAAAAATACTCAGGAAAAAAATACTCAGGAAAAAATACTGCATCTGTATTGAACTTGTACAGGCTTTTCTTTCATATCATCATTTCCCCCCCAAAAAATCTAGTATGACAACTATTTATATAGCATTTACATTGTAAGAGGGATTATGGGTAACTTAGGATGTGCATAGGTTTGATATAGATTTGTGTCATTTGATGTCAAGGACTTGAGTACCATGGATTTTGGTGTCCGTGGGGATTCTATAAGCAACGCCCCATGATACTGAGGGGTGAGTGTATACCTTAGCATCCCTCAGGGCACCAGAATGTCTTGACACTTCATGTTGTGGTAGAAGCCAGGGAGCCCGCAGAGGCAGTGTGCTAACTGGTTAAGGATTTTCCCCGCCTGGGGCAGCCTGGGTGCTGTGATACCCTTGATGTTTGTATTTAGAACCAATCTCAGTAGCGCTTGTCATCCTGCTGTTGTGAGTTTAGGAGTCTTACATAATCTAGAGTCAACTGAGGCAGCTGCAGAACTATCCTGGCCTCCTAGGGATTCTCAGTGGACCTCCCAGTGGACCCTAAACCAGGCCCAAACCCCAGATGCTCTTTGATCCAACTTGTGTTAGACCCAGATTGCCTGTCTAGAACTGACCCGGGGCCAGGAGCTAGTCGTAGGCCTCAGTAGCTGTGGGACTGTCCTCCACTGTGGCACTTATTTCCAGCCTTTGTTGAATTGCAACCTCCAAGCCAGTTAGTAAGCTTTTCCCTCGTCTTCAGCACATGGTGACTGAATAGTGTTGTCCCGGTCCTTGGACGGTTTCCTCTCTCCTGCTTTTGCCTGGAAGCCTGATTTCCATGACTGAATTAATGTGACCTTTTTCTTTTGTTCCTTCTTGCTTCTGATGTTTGCAATTTGTTTTGTGCCTGCAGAGTCTCCCCCTCGGATGCCGACTCCACCGTCAGCGAGGAGTCCAGTGAGAGGGATGTGGGGGACAAGACGCCAGCAGCGGTCCACGAGAGCAAGGCCCACAGAGCCCCACAGAGCGGTCTGTGACTCTCCTCCTCCTCCATGTTACAGGGAGTCGTGAGGTTCCCGCAGGCCAGGGTGTGACCCTACTTCAAAGGATGAACCTTTAAAAAAGACCCGTGAAATGGGGTGCAGTTCTCAGCATTAATTGTCACCTCTGAACATTACAGGGGTGTCTGCTTTGAGGCAAGGGAGGCAATTTTCCTGCCTGAAGGACAAGAAGGAGGAACTACACAGAAATCATAGTCAAAAAAGTGTCCCCAGAATTCAGTGACTTTCTTAGGATTCAAGGATTTCACAGCTGTCCCTGTCTGTTCCGTTTGTCTGGTGCCTCGACCTTTTGTATGATCAGACTCCGTTTTAGTGTCCCTGCATTGGGAGTCAGATAGAGCTTTAGAGACCAGGGATGGAGTGAATTTCCCTCCCCTTCCAAGGGGCAGTGCCATGAGACTCATGCCTGTCTGAACCTGTGCCCAGAGGCCTTCCCAGCCATGAGAGCCATTTTTTGGAATGATGGCAAGGCAGCTTGACTTTAGTTTAATTGATTCTGTTAAATACATGTGCCCATTCAGCTTCTGTCTTGCCTGGAGATTTATTTATATTTTATCGTTGTGTTTCAATGATGCAGACATGATTGGGAAGCCTCAGGCTACTATTTTCAATAGTAATTTTTATATTTTTAAAAATCACATGTTTTTCTGTATGAAAGTGCAGCACAGAGTGATCTGCATTGGTAGATGAACAGATTCTGGACGGAAGGCCAAGGGCCTCTGCTATCTCTGATATGTCTGTGACTTTGCAGGTCTCTTAGGCCCTGAGGCTCCTGTGGGACTAAAGCAGCCAATCCTTGAGATGCCTGTCAGCTGGTTTTCGTATAATGTTAAAGAAATACCCCCTCAGAATAAGGGAAGAGATTTTTTTCCTTTGGATTCCATTTTACAGACTCTTAAAAATTATTTAGCACCATGGTAGCATGTGCTGTATTTCAGAAAGGATTAAAATCTAGTTTTGATTCTGTGAAAGAAACATTTGGGGGGAGAAATCAAAGAGCTCTAGATTTCCTCAATTTCTGTTGATTGCTTACCTCAGGAAATCTTGCTATTAGTTCCTGCACTTAACTCCTTCCAAGAGTGTCACAACCAGTGAATTCTATAAGAATCAGACACCACTCTCAGCATGCATTACGAATCCAAGTGGAGAGCACTTCAGCTGGGGGACAGGGAGCTGGCTGGATGGAGGGGGTGGATCAGATGTCCCTGTGAGCAGCAGATGCTCAGATGCTGCTGCCATAGTTGGAAGGGACACCAGTCTGTGCATTATTTTCCTGCTTTAGAAAGATGGTTTTCTCACTACCAATAGAAATTCACTTTAAAAACTTTGTTTCTCCTTGAAAGGCATCATAAGATAGCTTTCTACAGAGGTATTTTCTTGCTTGCATAGAATTTTGTTAACTAAGTTGGACACAGTGGTGCACACCTGTTATCCCAGTGACTTGGGAGGCTGAGGCAGGAGGATCACAAGTTCAAAGCCAACTTCAGCGACTTAGTGAAGCACTTAGCAACTCAGTGACACCCTGTCTCTAAAAAAAAATATTTAAAAAATGGCTGGGGTTGTGACCCACTGGTTAAGTGCCCCTAGATTCATAGATTCAATCCCTGGTACTGGAAAAAAAAAAAAGAATGAAAGAAAGAAAGAAATTTGTTAAATATAAAAAAGAGTCTGAGCTGATATCATAGCTTTTTAATTATCTTATATGTCACATAAAAATCTTCTTTTTGTAAGTCAAATGAAATTAAAAAGTAATGAAGGTGGGAGGTTGTTTGAGAACTGCTGTCCTGGGACCAGTGTTGCCTCTGACCCCTGTTAGTGCAATATCCACTGGCTCTCTTTAGGCTTCTTGGCAAGGCTTTTGATGGCTGTCCCAAGTCATCTGGCATTTTGAGGCCCAACTTGCAGTGAAGCTCAGAAAAGACCTCTTTGGTTTTGGTAAATTTGAGTTGTGCTTTATTTCCTGTGCAGCTGTTTGGAAGGGGACTGCCGTGCAGGGACCCTTCAGAGATGACGTACAGGCAGATCTGCAGTTAAGATCAGCCGTATCATTAGCACGGAGGCCACCTTTATTGAGGGTGTGAAGGTGCAGGAGGTATTGTGCACTCTGTACGGGAGACAGCAGCTATTCTCAGGGTGTGGTCAGGGCTGCAGTCCTGTGTCCCTGCCTGACTAGTTTCTCTCTCTGCCCCTTTATTGTCAGGATTATATTAAGTAGATAACGACTATGAAATGATGAGTGGTTTTTTTTTTTTTATGCTGTTCTTATTAGGTTGCATCTGTGTAAGTGTGTGACTTTTAAGTAGCCATAGCTTTATTATTTAAATTCCGCAAACTCCAAGTTTTGGAATCTTATGTGGGAACAAAGCCAATATTTACTCTTGCACATGCTAATGAGTTCACCAAGCAAATTAATCGTCTTTACCAGATCAACTACATATAACATGGAGATTTTTTGAGTAGTATCAGAGTGCCCATTTATGAAATGATGGAGATCATATAGTTCTCCTCTTGTCACTAAGCAGATCCCCAGAGGCCTCTTCAAGGAAACATCCTGTCAACTCACTTGGTCATGCATGCAACAGGGCTTGCTGGGTGCTGGGGTATAGTGGAAAAGGTGAGATAAGCGTGATCACACTTGGTGGTGTGTGCCTGAGGGTCACCAGCAGTAGTAAGGGTGCAGTGTACATGTGTTTATCTGTAGATAGTGGAATAGTATTCCCAAACAAATCGCTGGTGCTTCAGCATTTCGGTAATGCCCTTTCCTCTCTCATTCTGCTTGGATGACCTTATCCTATGTGATCCAGGATTGTGCTTTTTCTCTTTTTGTCTTAAAAATGCAGAAATTTATTTTTTCTTTCCTTTAAAAATTATAAATGTATATAACTTTAATTATAATATGATGTTTAATATTTGCATACACTGTAGGATGGTAAGATTTATTTCACATTTACCTTTTTACTTTGTGGTGAGAATACTTAAAATCTAATCTTGTAACAATTTTCAGATATACAGCATATTGTTATTAATTTTAGTCACCATAATATACTATCTGTCTAGTTGAATTTCTATCATTTAAAAAAAAAACAACAACTACTAATGTTGGAAGAAAAGGACGTTTTAATCCAGAGTCCTTACTGTGTGGGTCCCCTCAGGCTGACAGCCACATAGCATTATTCTCTTATGTGTTCACTGTACTCCCCATGGGTCATATTATCCAGGGAGTTTGTTTTTTTAATTTGTGTAATGCATAGCAAACAACTTTTTTTATACATAATTTAAAAAACACTTTTCGGCCATTTGAAGGGCTGGGTCCCAGCTGTGGAAGCTGGAGGGTTCTCTCTACTTCCCACTCTGTTCTCCTGCACAGTCCCTCAGCTCGGCCTGTGCATCCTGTGCTCCTCTGGTTGCAGGTGGTGAGTGACAAAGCAAGGATCTCCAAGTGCAGTGGGGAGGGGAGGGCTGGGACCCTGTGCAGGAGCCCAGTCACAGGCTGCAGCACGCATGGAACCTGGGCAGGGAGCACAGAACAAAGGGGAGAGGCCTTTTCTTTCTGTCACCTTTGCTTGAGGCTCAAAGGCAGCTCGAGCTCTCTACCACCCTAGGGGAGAGAGATCTCACCTTTGGGTATCAATAGCTTAAGGGGCTACCCTTTGTTGCTTTAGAAGTTTGGGTCAGCAAGGTTAGAATGTCTGGCAAAGTAATCCTCTCCTTTCAGGCAGTATGCCTGCAACTGAAGTGGCTGCTACTGGATGAAAGGAGGTACAAACTGTTGGGCTGCCTGAAGGTGTGCAGTAAGGAAAGAATGCCCGAGAACAGCTGGGGTCCAGAGAGCTGGGCCTCCTCACCAAGAGACACTGCTCACTCGGAGGTGTAGGAAGGATTTCTAATTGCTTGGCATAACCCGTGAATACAATTCAAATTGAGAGAAAGTACAAAAGTCTCTCTACCACCGATGTACATTCCTTATGTAATCATCTTCTATTTCTCACTGCTTTGCTCTTGATCTTTTTTTACACTTGGAGAAACCTCTAGATTTTTCACTTTTGCTTGAGGTTTCAAACCTTAGGCTTCACAAAAAACACAGTCTCCCTGCTCTCATGCCTTCTTCTGGCCATTTATTTTTAAAGCAGTGTCTGAATTTCAAGAGGTGAGCCTGGCCTGTTAGAGGGAGGGCATCAGTTGATCTTAGTGTCATTAGCCAGCTCTTCCCATCTACTCAGCTCCTCTTTCTCTTTCTTTCTCTCCCTTTTCTTTTTGAAACTTGAAAATTTATTGGGATTATTCTTACTACAGAAAATTCTCATTACAGAAAATATAAGAAAGGCACCCATTTTTACCAAGATCCAGTCTCTTTAAATGTTTTTTTTCTTTTTTTAAACACTTAAATTTCTTCAATTTCACAGATTCTTTTTGTAAAAGTTATTGTAGTAAAATATCATAGTATAAAATTTACCCTTTTAGCGTTTTTTTTTTTTGGTACCAGGGATTGAACTCAGGTGCACTCAACCACTGAGCCACACCCCCAGCCCTTTCTAAAATATTTTATTTAGAGACAGGGTCTCATTGAGTTGCTTAAGGGCCTTGCTAAATTGCTGAGGCTGGCTTTGACCTCACCTCCCTGCCTCAGCCTCCCAAGCTGCTGGGATTACAGACATATACCGCCATGCCTGGCACCCTATTAGCCATTTTTAAGTGCTTTTTAATCTCTCTTCTTTTGATTTCCTATGTGCAGCAGGTTTTTCTTCTCAAGCATCTTCAACTTTTCTTATCAAGATGGGAAAGACAGACAATTTTTAATAGTATATACCTGAGCGTTCACAGTCCCCTTGTCTTTTATTTTCTCAATTGCGTAGTCAGCCCTCTGTATCCGTGGGTTCCACATTCAACCAACCATAGATGGAAAATATTTTTTAAAAAATTACATCTGTATTAAGCATGTAGAGACTCTTATTAGTAGTAGTAATAATGATAGAGTAGAGCAAATATTTACACAGCACTTACATTGTATTATGTATTTTAGGTAATGTAGAGATCATTTAAAGTATATGGGAGGATGTACATAGATTCGATGCAAACACTCTGCCATTTTATGGAAGGGACTTGAGTGTTTGCAGATTCTGATATCTACAGAGGTCCTGGGACTGATACCCTGTTGGTACTCACTTAATATCACTCTAGGAAGCTTCTTCCTATGTCAGCTCAGAACTGCTATAAATGCTTTTTTCCTAGAAGGTCTGTAAACTGCTTTTTGACCTGCTGAGCAACTTGAGAATCCTTCTATCCTCCCCCACCCTTTTTTTTTTTTAACTGAAGATTTGAACCACATTTAGACAAAACAGAGTTATTTTTTTACACAGTATAATAATGATTTTATCACATCTTTCCTAAGAGTCTGTAATTTTTAGTGAAACTGAAAGAGACAATGTTTAACCCATATCATTTAAGTTCAAATAGAGAAATTTTAAGTATGCCACCATCAGCATGGGGACATAGTTTTAGTCAGAGGACCTGTCTGAGGATTGTTTCAGGCAGGGTCCATAATTTTGAGTGTGCTATTTCTTAAGGTGACTTTGTTTTTCTTTCTTTCTGTGCTAGGTCCCCCCTTGCCCAGTTCAGGGAATGAGCAGCATTCCTCTGCCTCCATCTTTGAGCATGTGGACAGGATTTCGCGCTCCTCAGAGGCCAGCCGGCGGGTTCCCAACAAGATCCAGCTGATTGCCATGCAGCCCATTCCAGCACCCCCAGTCCAGCACCCCATCCTGGCTGACCGAGTGGCAGAAACCAACAAAATCAACAAAGAGGTATTATGAACACCCCCTCCCTATTTTCTTTCTTTTTTTGGGGGGGAGGGTACTAGAGATTGAACCTTGGGGTACTCTACCTCTGAGCTACATCCTCAACCCCTTTTTATTTAGGTATTTTGAGACAAGGCCTTACTAATTTGCTGAAGAGGGGCTGGTCTTGGTCTTGAACTTGAGATCCTCCTGCCCCATCTTCCCGAGCAGCTGAGATTACAAGCGTGTACCACCTTGCCCAGCCACTCTAGCACTTTTAAAATTTTGTTTTGAAACAAGGTCTAACTAAGCTGCCCAGACTGGCCTCTCTAACTTAGAATCCTTCTGCCTCACCCATCTGAGTAGCTGGGATTACAGGTATGCACCATCCGGCTAATACCGCCCCCCCCCCCCTTTTAAGCATATTAATAAAAAAATACATTCTGATTTTTGTCAATGCTTTAAAAAGAGTGAAAGATACAGTGTCAAAAAGTCACAAAGGCTTGAGCTGCTGACAACTGTGCTTAATTTAAAACATGCTTATTTTTTAAAGATCAGATGCTGGTCAGGGACACTCTTAGACACATTGGCAGATGTGCAGAAGGGAGTAACCCAGGAACCCTGAGACTGCTGCCCCCAGAAAATCCTGCTTTGGCTCTGGGTCAGGTCCCACATGGCCACTGATGACGTTGCTATTTTTGAGGATGTTACTCTTCGTGAGGAGGGGATCATACCTCAGGGAATGTGTTTCCCTAAGCTGGGTAATTATCCATAAATGGATATTCTACAGTATAATGCACATACTTCCTTGAATGTCAGTTTTACTTTAAGAATCTCTAAAGTAGTGATAATATTGAGTATGGAAAATATTTATTATGTTCTCAGGGCATATCCTAACTTTTGATCAGACAAGTGTGGGCTCAAGAGTTGTCACAAGCTGATTTCCAAGGTTTGGGCATTTCCCCTGCTTTGGGTAGAGGACGCCACTGCCCCTCCTTCCTGCAGGTGGATCTCATTTATTTTCCCCCAGCCTCCTTCAGAGTGTTGGGTCTCACCATCACTCTGTCACCTCCCTTAGCGCCTGCCTGGAGCCCATAGACAGCAAGTCCAGGGTTGGGGAGAGCATGGCATGCCTAAAAGGCCAGGTGGATAGCATGTCCAGAGACCTCTGAGAACACCCATCTGCCGCCCCCCTGCCACCCCTGCTCAGATTCAGACGGCGCTGCGGCACAAGTCCGAGATCGAGCACCATCGCAATAAGATCCGGCTGCGCGCCAAGCGCCGCGGCCACTACGAGTTCCCGGTGGTGGACGACCTGTCCTCGGGTGACACCAAGGAACGGCACCGCGTGTACCGCAGGGCACAGATGCAGATCGACAAGATTCTGGACCCCACGGCCAGCGTGCCTTCGGTGTTCATAGAGCCCAGGAAGAGGTGGGCCTGGGCCCTGCCTGGGAGGTGGGGGTGGGCGTGGGGACTTGCTCTAAGAGCATGGGCAGGTGGGATGCCCCTCTGTGTTGTAGGGTCCAGGACAAAAGGCCCTGTCCATTTTTTCATGAAAGTTCCTGAGAATGAGTTGAGGAGGGTTGTGCCAGGAGGGCTATTTCTGCTTCTGGGAAGGCCGAGGTCAGCCTGGGGCGCTTCATGCCGAAGGCTGCGGTGGGTTTTCTCCTCTGCATCTCCGGTTGCCTCTGCACGGATCCTCTGGGTTTAAGAACGCACACAAAACTGAGCTCCAGCAGCCTCTTCCATGGCCTCCCTGGCCCTTCCTCCCCTCCCCTCCCCTCCCCTCCGGTACTGCTGTCGAGCTGTCCAGGTGGATCTCACTTATTTTCCCACAGCCTCCTGCAGAGCGTTGGGTCTCACCTTCCCCTGGTCTTCCCAACTCTGCCCCTTGGCTCACATATGTTCTTGAAGTACGGCTCTCATTTGTGTCTTCCTGTGCCCAGTGTGAGTCGGGTTTTGTCGCCTGCCTTGTGGAATCTGTCTGGAGCGCTTGGCTTGCCTCTCCGTGCAGCTCCTCCCGTTGTCCCGTAGATGGCCCCTCATGCTCCCTCAGATCTTCACCTGCCTCCCGTTTCTGGCCTTGGTTGATTGGATGCTGTTTCTGTGCCTCCCATTTGCTTCCCGTGGCCCTGCCCAGCCTCAGATCCCACTCTTCAAGATCTGCTTCAGGCCCCGGTAGCTGATGGTGGTATTAAGCTCCCCCCGACCTCTCCCTTTTCTGAACCATCTGTGTCACTAGATAGTGTCCTGATTACATGATTGTTGGTAGGTCAGCTCTGCAGGGCCCAGACTGGGGCTGCCATGTTGTCTGTCTCCTCGAGCCTCTTACTGTGGTTAGCACATAGTAGGCCCTCAGAAGATACTTAGTGTATGGAGGGGGTAACTTAGCGGCAGGAGGCTTATTTCCTATGAAGATGATTTCTGTTTATTCTGGCAGCTCACGAATAAAACGCTCTCCTAAGCCACGCCGGAAACACCAGGTCAACGGATGCCCTGCTGATGCGGAGAAGGACAGGCTCATCACCACAGACAGCGATGGCACCTACAAACGGCCTCCCGGCGTGCACAACTCAGCCTACATTGGATGCCCAGTGCGTAATGCCGAACTCTCTGGAAATGGGGTGGGGCTCAAGGAAAAGACCCTGATAGGAAAGGATGATGAACAGTGCTGGCTGCTGCCCCATGGGACATCGATGTTGGGGCCAGCAGGGCCCTGAAGTACATGGTTGGGGCTAGGCCACTCCTGTCATGTCAACCTGGGGCTGCTGGGTAATATCCCTGAAAAACTAGCCCTGTCCTCAGGCTTCAGAATGGGAGCTGGTTGAGGTTAATTGGGAGGGGGTGGGGAAGGTGTCCAGGTTTGTCTTCCCCTCCACTCCCTGTGAGTTTTTTTTTGGTTTCTTGGTGACAGGGTTGTGCTCCCCTTCTGCTCCCAGAGTGCTAAGAAGATGGTGTATTTGTTGAGCCTTTGCTGATTTTAGTATCCTATATTCAAAATGCTGGGGACATTTTCAGATTTTGGAATTTTTTAGGTTTTGGAATATTTGCATGGACTTTGCTGGTTCAATATCTCTAATCTGAGAATCCAAAGTCTGCAATGCCCCCAAATCCCAAACTGAGCATCAGGGCAGAACTCACTAAGTTACAGATTCTAGTACATTTCATATTTATGAATTATGGATGTTCAACCTTTATATATATTTCTTGTTTTTGTTTTTGTAGTGCTGGGGATTAGGGTCAAAGCCAGGGCCCCACATGTGCTAGGCAAGCATTCTGCCCCTGAGCTACATCCCAGGACTTTTTTTTTTTTTTTTTTTTTAATTTTGAGACAGGGTTTCACTGACTTGCTGAGGCTGGCTTCAAACTTGTAATCCTCCTGCCTCAGCCTCCTGAGTAACTGAGGATTACTGGTGTGTGCCACCTCACACCAGTAGTGTATGCATTTCTTATTTTTATGGGAGAATGAACTTAGAAATTAAGAAATGAAGAAGTAAACACTTTTTTTTTCCAGTGCTTTATTCACTCAAATTACTGAAAGAGGCACAGAGTTGCTCGAAGTATTGGAGGCAGACATTGCTAGCATTAAGACACATGCACACAGGCTCCATTGAGTAGGACAGCCGTCCTCCCTGAGGGGTTATGAGAAGTACAGACACAAGAGGGGGACAGCCAGACACAGCTGACTCTGGCAGTGCCGGGAAACACAATGGCCTCAGCCTGGTGCCAGGGAGCAGCCCTGCCGTGTTGCCCCAGGCCCTGTCCTCCTTCTGCAGGCCAAAGGACAGAGCCATCCTTGTTTAGAGAATGGTTAGCAAAAGGCTTGTCCTTGGGGAAGGCATTTGTGATGTACATGACCAGTCTAGATATTTATGCAACCAGCCATTTCTTGAAGTTTCTATTTTTTTCTCCTAAATTGTACAAATAATACTGACCCTCAATAGAATACCACAAATGTATGAGAACTGTACTGTCATGGAGCCCAAGTGTAATTGAATCCTGATCCCTTGAAAGAAATGGGTTTTCTTTGGAAACTTACTATGTTTCTGGTGTCCTTTAAGTCAACTGACTGTGGCCTTCATAACCTCCTCATGAGGATCCTGCGATTTTAGAGTTGGAAGGTCTGTAAATTGGACCACTCTCCTCCTCAGTGGGATTGAGTCCCCTGGTCTCTGGGTCTTTCTGGATGCTGCACTCCTCAGGAGCCATCGCCGGGCCTTCTTGCAGCAGATGATGCTCTTGTGTTGCAGAGGGGTTTTGGAAAGTGTCTGGACGCCAGTGGTGTTCGACTTCACTGTCCCCTGGGGATCCAAGATTGCCAGCCACCTGGAACTTTTGTCGGTCTGAAGCAGGGACTTCCTGAGGTGTGGAACTGACCACAGAAGAAGCAGGGGCATTCCTCCTTCCCCTCCACTTCCCTGGGCAGCCTGGGGTGCTTGGCCCCCACAGGAGGGCCTTGCACCCCTGCCCTTCTGAGTTCCTCTTCTCTTGATCTCTTCATTCACCTTCATTGACCCCAAATGAAGCTTCCATCATGATGGTCTGGACCCTCCTTTTAATTAAATAAGTAAAATTTTTTGAAACAGCTTCTCTTTTTATGTTGCCCAGGCTGGCTTCAGACTCCTGGGCTCATGCAGTTCTCTTGCTCCGGCTCCCAAGAAACTGGGATGTCACACATTCTTGCCATCACATCTGGCTTGGACCCTCCCTTTCTTCTTCATTTTTTTTCCTTCACAGAATGCGCAGAGGTTCCTCCTGGAGCTGGTGGAGAGAACACCAGCCTGGAAACCACAGCTCGCCTGTATCCCTGAGGCTCCTCTTTCAAAATTCCCCAAAGGAAACTCTTCTTCCTCAGATGAGCTTACTTTTCACTTTCTATCCCTAAAAATCCTGAAATGCATCCTTAGGAAGATATTTCCTCTCTCAGAACTCACCTTTTCTTAGGTAGCTTTTCATCCTCAAAACCATACAGGTCCTCCATGGCTTCGGGTGATCTTGACTTTTCCACTTTCTCTTCAAAATATCTTCCCTTGAGGTCTCTCTTCTCCTAAAACTGGAGAAATAAATACCCCTCACTCCCTGTAACTAGGGCTGCCAGTGTAGTTCAGGCCTGGTGGACTGTGGCCCTCAGGCCAAATTCAGCCAGATGTGTACTTTAGGAGGTGCAGTAAAGTTTTATTGGAAGACAGCCACACCTGTTTGTCTGTGTGCTATCTGTGGCTCCTTTTCAGAGTTGAAGAGTTGTGATAGACTTTGTGACCTGCAAACCCTAACACACTTATTATCTGGCTTTATTGAAAATGTTTGCCATGGCCGGATGTGGTACCACTTACCTCTAGTCCCAGCTACTCAAAAGGCTGAGGCAGGAGGATCACTTGAGCCCAGGGGTTTGAGGCCAGCCTGGGTAACATAAAAATGTTACCCCATCTCATAAAAAGAAGAAAAAATACTTCTTGGCCCCTGATGTTATTTATCATCCAAACTAGACGCTTTGGGTAAAAGGGAATGCTGTTAATCATTAAACTGGGGCAAGAGGGGTAAACCAAGGTTGTCTTGAATAAAGCAGGGTGTCTGATCACACTTAGAATAGCCTACCAAAGATTGCAAAATAGGAACCCAAATCCATCATCTTTGAAGTCTAAAGGTGAATAGGTTGGCGTGTAGTTCTGAAGAAGGATAGAGAAATGTGTATCTGCTCAAAGGGAACAACATTGCACCTTAATACAATTATCAAACCAGGATTCAGGAAAATGGAATTTGGATTCTGACTTAGGGATTCTGGGTGAGCCTCCACTTGTGTAGGCCCCAGCTTTTCATCTCCTAGGGAACGTCTCCATATGAATCACTGTGCTAGGGGCTGGGGTTTAGAAAAACGAATGCGCCCTCTTGACTTTCCAGTTCTGAAAACGTGAGGAAACAGCTAGGTGACCAAGGAAGAGAAGCTCCAGCGTCATGGCTCCGTGACTCTTGGACTTCTCAGGAGGATTCACAGGGCTTTCTAAAAGTCCAACAAGAACAATTTTAGAAGAGGAAATTTTTATTTTGGGGCTCACAGTTTCAGAGGTGACTACTCTGTTGGTCTGGGCTGGAGAGGAGGCTGGACATCGTGATGGACCAGTGTGGAGGAGCTGTGAGTGTGGACCTTCACCCACCTCATAAGGAAAAGAACACAGTTCCCTCCAGTGGTAGATCCATCATAAACCAGAAGCCCCTTTTAGAGCCTTACTTAGAATCCCTAGTAGAGCCTTTATGGAGATATTGTAGTTTAAGAGAAACAGATGAGACCAGGCATGTAAGGGGCAGAATGAGGTCATCGATGGAACCTTCTGGAGAGAAGAGCATCTGCTCCATCTCAAGGGGGCCGGAGCTCTCAACAGTAGTTGGTTGTTTCCGTGTGAGTCTGAATCCAGAAACTAGAGCATTCACATGAAGTTTTCAGATTTTTATAATATTATATATTTTCATAAAGACAGTAAGGCCAAGCAGAGCAGGTCTGAGGGCCATTTGTGGGTTTGCCAACTTGTAGTTCAGTTTTCTGTGTTTTGGAGTTAAGCAGTGGCTGTCCTTTGTGCTGGTAGGAATGACCTGTGATCTTCCATGGGACAGAGCTTTATCATTAGGAAGCAGTATCCAGACAGCTGGCCAAGCTTAAAGGTGTGTGTGGAGTAGAGCTTTTCCTTGTCATGGGATCACTGACCCAGACAGACATGGGAGTGTCTTCCTTGGCTCCTCAGTAGGGTGATCCAGCCCACCCAGGTGGCATGACCCATCCATCATGAGCAAGGCACTCTAGGTGAAGGTGGACCCTCTTCTGCACGGCCTCAGGGGCACACCCTCTTCTCTCTTGATGCATCTGCCAAACCATGATGTTTGGACTTGGGAGCCTCTGAGACCTTTGGTTTCCTGTTTTGTCTCTTACAATTTATGCAGTGTCTTCTATGACCATGTTTTGCTCATAATGCAATATTGAGAAATAAGTTAGTTTCAAAAAATCTTAATTGTTGCCTGGATTCCTGCCTCTTAACTCAGGGTATAGAACATAATTTAAACCTTTCTTAAAGACTCATGTTATCCAGAGATGTCTCCAGTTTAAAGACAAATGGCTTCTAAATAATTATTTAATTATTGCTATTTTACAAATAGTTATAATAGGTATTATAATTGTTTTTATGCACATGAACATAGTTTTAAAATGGTGGTGACTTTGACCTTTTTTAGGGAATATATAGAGCAATTTTTTCTTTCTGTTAATAGTCAATAGACTGCTGCACTTTTTGTTTTCTATACCTATGGAAGATTGACTATGTTTTTTGAGAATATATGCTAATTGTTTTTAAAATTTTTATTCATGCATTACAATTATACATAATAATAGGATTCATTGTTACATGTTCAGACATGCATATGACATAATTGGGTGAATTTCATTCTCTAGTACCTCCCCTTGACCTCTCCTCCTTCCTCTCTCTGGTCCTCTTCTTCTATTCCCTGGTCTACCTTCTATTTTCATGAGATCCCCACTCTTTTCCCCCCTCTAGCTTCCACATATGAGAAAAAAATACGACCCTTGACTTTCGGAGTCTTGCTTATTTCA